CAAGTTCTGAGTGCAAATGCGTCATAGGCTACGAAATGATATGGCACAGACTTGTCATTATTAGGGAGTGGAGCTGATACAGGTAGTCCGGCTCGGTTGTCTTCGACAGCTTTGTGTAAAGTACAGTTCTTCCATGTCCCTCCATCTGAAGCACCACCCTCTGCCCCAACATCAACATACAAGAACTTCATGCATCCAGCATCTACATGGGCCATGAGTACAATGCTGCGGAAGCCTTTAATATAATTGTAGTAGAATGATTCAGCTTTGGGTAGCTTCTTCATAGTAGCATGCTTGCCGTCCACAGCCCCCAGACAGTTGTGGTAGTTCCATCTAAAACTAAAACCTTCAGCAACCTCCTTCCACTCCTCTTCAGTTTTGGAGCACCTGAGTACTTCGTCCTTATAAACCTCAAGGATGGCTTTGCAAACCTCTGGTAAGAACTTGCCGATTGTAGTAGCTTCAACTCTGAAGCTGTACTGTAGACTTGCACAGGATTTACCAGTGGCTAGGAAGCGAAGAGTGGTTGTCAGCTTGAGTCCCACCTCCAGCGGTTCTCTCATGAATGTGGTCTTCTTCTCAAGATGAGGTTTTAACTTTTCCACAATGTCTTGGAACAAGCCGGGGAAAATTCTCAGGTAATTTCTGTAGCCACTTGGATCTTCCTTGTGGAGTTCTGTCAATAGCTGATCATAATGTCCGAAGTGATGTCTTCCAGTCAACCATTCCCTCACCAACACTGTCCTTGCTTTCCTTTTTCAAGTTGGGGTTACGTCTTCTTCTTTGGCCTGCTCTTGCTGTAATTGCTGGTCTTCAAGACTGACTGAGTTTAGTTTTACGCCGCTTTTAGCAATATTCCAGCAATATCACGGCGGGGGACACCAGAAAATGGGCTTAACACATTGTGCCCATGTGGGGAATCGAACCCGGGTTTTCGACGTGACGAGCCAACGCTTTAACCACTAGGCTACCCCACCGCCCCTGGTCTTCAAGAAGTAATAGTGCTTTTTTAGGGTATTTCAATTGGAAGCATTGAATACTTACTCAATCAATTCGCTGACGACACAACATGCACCCTGGATGGTTCAGAACGTTGTCTCTATGCAGTATTTAATGTGCTTAGTTTCTTCGACAGATTTTCAGGTACAAAGGTTAACATCGACAAAACACGTCTCATTTGGACAGGATCAAAGAAAAGATCGAAAATGAAACCATGTTCGGAGCTAAATCTTAATTGGGACCAGGGTGACTTTAGTCTTCTTGGAATTACATTCACTCAAGACTTAGACGATATGGTAGAGATAAATTACAAAGAAAAGATAAGAAGTTGTGAAACACTAATGTCCATATGGTCCGCACGTAATCTCACTCCCTTTGGAAGAAATTTTGTCTTAAAATCTTTGATCATCCCAAAATTAAATCATTTATTCAGTGCACTTCCTGACCCAGATAATGAAACTACAAATAAATTTCAACAGAAATGTTTTAAATTTATCTGGAACAATAAACCTGATAGAATTAAGAGAAGCCAAATTATCTGTGACAAACAAGATGGAGGCTTCAACATGCCAAATATAAAGACATTAATGCATACTCAGAAACTATCAATGGTCAGAAGGTTTTTCAGATGTAAGTCCAGTTGGTGCTATCTATTTATTTCAAATCTCCAAAAGTTTGGCGCTGGTTATGTATTCGATTATAACTGCCAATATCTGTCAGAAGAATGTCTCCCACTGATCCACAATAAATATTATAGGGATGTGCTATGTGCCTGGTGGCAATTTATATCTCGGAATGAAACTGACTATGACGTAAATGATATACTTGCCGAAAATCTCTGGTACAACAAAAACATATGTGTAGGATGTAAACCATTTCTTTACAAACAATGGTATGATAAAGGAATTCGGTGTATCAACGATTTACTTGACTTAAATGATAACATATACTGCTTTGAAATTTTTGTAAAACACTATCATTTAAAAACTGATTTTCTAACATTTACTGGCCTCATTAGATCTGTAAAGTCATATTTGAAAACACTTAACATAGATTTTAAGACTTTGTCAAAAATACCAAACCCAACTTTACCAGCAAATATAAAACAGCTCCTCAGGGATGCAAAGGGGACACAACGGTTTTACAGAACATTGTTGTCAAATGTCACTACAAAAAATTTACATTGCCGAAAATGGGAGCAAAGTATCTTAAACAACGAAGTCTTGTCTGACGACTGGAAAAATTATAACTAAATACCATTTAGATGCACCAATGACAGTAAACTGCAATGGTTCCAATATAGAATATTACATCACATCTTACCGACAAATATAAAGTTATTTAAGATTGGGTATATAAATAATTCAAAATGCAGCTTTTGCCAAAACGAAATTGAGACACTCCATCACGTGTTCTGGTCTTGCAGTAAAGTCAACCATATCTGGCAAAAACTTGAAGTCTGGCTAAATCATAAAACTCTTGTCAGTATCAAAGTATCAAGAAAACAGGTATTGCTCGGTTTCCCAGACAAAAACAATGACCCTCTCAATATTATTATTATTATCTTTAAAAACCTAATTTTTGGAAGCAGATTAAAAAACAGTGTACCACCTTTCCATGTTTTCCAGAATGAAATTAGACATTATTATATGATAACAAAGTGCTCTTCTTTAATGGAGTGTAATATCAGCGCCTTTTATAAGTTCTGGTCTTCATGTCATGAACTGTTCACATGATTTGTACATCATATGCTTGTATTGTATTGTAACCTGAATGTCCTTTGTTGAGTTTTCGGAATAGACTGTAAAACATCTTTAGAAACAATAAAATTATAAAAAAAAGTAACAGTGCTGCACCGGCGAGATATAGACACTTTCTTTTTTATATATTTTCTTTTCTGCAATCTGAGCTTGTTCTCTGGTGTTCAGCATCTTGTAGGTCCACAGCAATGCACGAAGCTTGGGTGATGCCTGCTATTTATATAGCATGGAGTCAAGCGGCACAAAGCGGGACTGCTTCACGCATGCTCGAAGCGGTTGTGGCAATGCATGCCCATGCTGGAACTATGCGCGTCGTGCGTACCATGCCGTACACTAGACGTAAACAATACACCAACAATACTTGACCTAGTCGTAAATAAGTTGTGCGATAGCGTGCCAATGCATGCCAATGCGCACCATTTATGGCCACGCATTGCGTGCCAAGTGCGTAACTTATGCGTAAACAGGACGCGAACAGTGCGCAAACTAGTCTTCATGCTTCCATGCATACCATCTAAATTATACACGCATTGCCACGACGAAATGCGCGGCAGGGCGGGGAAAAAATTCGTGCAAGTTTCGGGGTGACTTCGATCAGATTTGGGGCGTGGAGCTGTTCCTTACAAACCCGGATAACATAATAGCCAATTTACATCCACGAGTACAACTACCTTCCTCAAACATAGAGGTTGTTGTCGTGCTCGCGACTTATAAAAATAGCTAGCGGGAGATCAGCCATTGCCTCTTGTGTGTGTTCGTTAATGTGCTAATATTTTAATATTGAATGAACTATATGGCACAAAGATGGTATGGCAGACTGAACACGTGTTCTGGTATATATTACAATCATCAACGAAACAAGTTACTTTCCTTCGCCATCAATAGTAACAAACTAATAGTAGTTCCGGAGGAAAACGATTTATCAGTGTGATGACGTCACTTCGGCAGCCAATACTTCCTGGTGGCACGTCATGTTTCCGCGAATGTTTCACTGTGTCGCTGTACATAACTGGTTCAACCTAACCCTCTTCCCGTGTCACTGTACATACATCTAGGCGGAACCAGAGGGGGGTGCATGGGTGCCCCCCACACACACACACTTTTGTTTTGTCATGTAGGTTTAATAAATGACCATTGAAACTCACGTGAAAACGGGTGAAAATGAACTGAGCAACCCACCCCACCCCACCCCACCCACCCCTCCTCAAAAGCTGTATCCGCCCCTGACATAACTGGTTCAACCTAACCCTCTACCGAGTCACTGTACATTATATAACTGGTTCAACTAACCCTCTACCGTGTCACTGTACATTATATATAACTGGTTCAACCTAACCCTCTACCGAGTCACTGTACATTCTATAACTGGTTCAACCTAACCCTCTACCGTGTCACTGTACATTATATATAACTGGTTCAACCTAACCCTCTACCGAGTCACTGTACATTATATAACTGGTTCAACCTAACCCTCTACCGTGCCACTGTACATTATATATAACTGGTTCAACCTAACCCTCTACCGAGTCACTGTACATTCTATAACTGGTTCAACCTAACCCTCTACCGTGTCACTGTACATTATATATAACTGGTTCAACCTAACCCTCTACCGAGTCACTGTACATTCTATAACTGGTTCAACCTAACCCTCTACCGTGTCACTGTACATTATATATAACTGGTTCAACCTAACCCTCTGCCGTGTCACTGTACATTATATATAACTGGTTCAACCTAACCCTCTACCGAGTCACTGTACATTCTATAACTGGTTCAACCTAACCCTCTGCCGTGTCACTGTACATTATATATAACTGGTTCAACCTAACCCTCTGCCGTGTCACTGTACATTATATATAACTGGTTCAACCTAACCCTCTACCGTGTCACTGTACATTATATATAACTGGTTCAACCTAACCCTCTGCCGTGTCAGTGTACATTATATATAACTGGTTCAACCTAACCCTCTGTCGTGTCACTGTACATAATCTATTCTGATGTCACTGAAACAAGTTGAGCCTAACCTATCGCTCCTCCCTGTCACTTTGATCACCAATGTCATAGGCTATGGTATGTCAACAGACAGTATTTCACATACTCAATTGGAAATGTAGACCCGTGTGGCTCCAAACGGGCATTTTCTTTTTTGTGTTTAAAACGTTTGCCAGCTCCCAAATCAGTAATGCCCAAGAACACCAGGTCGGGAACAAAATTAACAATCGCACGAATACGTCATCAAGCTACTTCCGGTACGACACCGTGCGCTTTATGTCGTGAGTGTGTAGATCAAGATCTACATCTTCAGTGTACAGAATGTCCAGGTTACCAGCTGTTGTGATTGACAATGGCACAGGGTAAGATATGTGTGTGCGAAATTATGGTTTGAGCGTTTCTTAGAGCCGTATGCGAGAAATTTGCCAGGGATATGACGAATCATTCGAAGGGGTGTGGCGGAAGTGAATCTCTAAACTTCAATGGATTTCTACTGCAATTACCAATATATGGGTGATAAGTGGCAGTTTTCAACACAATGTAATGTTTATAACAGTGTGTCGTTGGAAATGTAACGATATGGAGTAGATTTGTGAAAGTAATGTTCTGTGCCCCATACAATAGGGCTGCTTCCTAAACCTGGACCTTACAATTTCGTGATTCTTTGTATTTTCGACTCAAAATAAACTAGTAGGCCTAGTCGCAGTGTTTACAGGTAGATGTACTTTCCCTGTTATAATCTCCCACGAGTGATTTATCCAATCAGAGTGCTTGCAACCAAGCATGTACAGCAAGAGTGGTAGTTGAGTGTATCTATTTAGCTTGACTTCTCCCTGATGGCGACATGTTAGCACGGCAAAGTAGTACAGCTAGGCTACAACTGTATTTTGGTGACATGTGTATCTGTAGGGGATGTTCTTGGTGAATCCACCTCCTACACAGCCACTTGCACTGAGGAGCATACATGCAGTAACAATTGTAATAAGCAGACTTGCAAGTTCAACCTTCCTATTGTTCGAGCTTCCTCACATTGTACAGAGAGAACTTTTCATTCAAAACATATCAACTTGAAATACTAAACATGCTAAAGGGACATTAATGTGTTTAAAGTCTCTGCTATGATCTAACTGGTCATGAGATATAATTAAATCAGTTCTCACTTGTTTAGAGATTCAATTGCATTCTTACTCACATTTGGTCTGTGTTAAATCCAAAAGTTCTGTTTTCCAGTTCGTCACTGATGTCTAGAACTATCTCTTGGCAGAGAAACAGTTCTGTTGGAGTTTCATCAGTAGTACAATGTGCATCATTAGAAAATGCTCACACTTTTTCTGACTTGAATTTGAGTTGGCTTTGGCTGCTATTGTTGTTCTGTGATATTTGTTATTAACACTTACTGCAAAACAAAAGAAAGATGTTTCTGAGTATGACCTTTGACGTTTTTGTTTTTGACATTGTCTTACATTATCTGGCTAAAAAATATGTACAAGGGAAGGAATATTATGTAAATTTGAAGAGGCAGCTAAAATGTTTGATCAGTGTAATTCTGTACAGCACCTTGGAACATAATGTAAATTTGAAGAGGCCACTGAAGTGGGTAATTTGGAAAATTCTGCACACCTCCTGCCTGATTTTATGTGCCAGCTTTGAAACTGGTCATTTAGCATCATCATATCCTGTGGATAGCTGCTGCCATCTTTGACCACTGTTTCGGTCAAGACTTGATTTCATTCCAGGCAGTTGTGTTTTTGACCATACTGTACTATAAACAACATTAATCAGCAGTAACACTCTGTGATGCTTGAGCAAAGTGCGAATATATTTTAAATTTGTTGTGTTAATTGTCGTTTTTTCTTTGTATATACCACTCTTGTATTTACTGTTGTCAATATGTCATATATGAAATAAGAGCCACACAATTATGAGTTTCAGAGTGCCATGGTTATTCTTGTTTTTATGGGGTTTTGTATTTTTCTTTCGTCAGGTATACTAAAATGGGCTATGCAGGGAACACAGAACCTCAGTTCATTATTCCCTCTGCTATTGCCATCAAGGAGGCTGCCAGTGTTGGGGACCAGGCCATTCGACGACTGGGCAAGGGAGTGGAAGACTTAGACTTCTACATTGGAGATGAAGCTCTTGGTGCTACAGCATATTCAGTCAAGGTTTGTAAATAAAACTCCTTCAAGTCTAACAAAATAAGGTGTGAGAATGTTCTGTCTGCCTGAAGACTGATAAAGAATAAGCCATATGCAGGTGTCAACCGGAGTTGTACCTCCTTCCCAGTCCTGAGGACTGTAAGAACACGGGGTCCCCGGCTGCGTTCCTGCTCTACTTGAATTGTATTAACAACTGTTTACAGTTGGGTGGATTTCATTGTTAAAATAAAGAAGTTTTCTTGTATTCTTGTGTTACTAGAATAGTAATATCAGCAAAGTCATTATGATTATTATGATATTCATGTTAATCAAACTGCCCAACCAATATGGATTGCCCAGGACTTGCAATAAAGAACATGGGGTAGTTGGGTAGCCTTCTGGTAACAGTATTTTCTTACCACACCGAAGACCAAGGTTCAATTCCCATGATGGGAACTATATGTGAATTTGTGTCACACAAAATGATATTGCTGGAATATCACTGAGAGAGTAAAACCCTAATTATTACTCTTTCAGTGGCCCATACGACACGGCATTGTTGAGGACTGGGATTTGATGGAACGCTTTATGGAACAAGCTATTTTCAAGTACCTTCGATCGGAGCCAGAAGATCATTATTTTCTCTTGGTAACTAACTATCATCATCATGTACACTTCATGACTTGTACAGCACCATTCAGCGTGTTCCGACCAAGGTTTTCAAGTGACTTATAGTTTCATGGTACAAGAGGATGGAAAGTGGATGGGAGTAGATCATCAGATCATCATTCTCTTTGACTGAAAATGAAGTAGATCACGAGAGTGTTACTTAGCTTATTGATTGTTACATCTAATTTTGTTTTGTTTGATTTTCTGATTGACGCTTGATATTTACACAGTTAGACTAGCTTGATGCTTACCTGGATTCTTGGATTCTCTATTTCCGCTGGCTCTCATTTTCTTTGATATTTTTCCAGACACTTTCAATGTACACCAAATGTAGTGTTTATTTATTTAATTATTTGGCAAATTATCATTTGATGTTCTGGTACAGTTATCAAACTAACGAGCAGATCCTTCTTCGACATATTATGACATTTTTTGTGATAAATATCAGAAACTGCACATTTTGACAAATAGTGAAATATTATCCCCCACATGAGATATAGAACAATATTTTGTCACATCAGTGAATTCTTCCCAAATCTTCAAATTTGTCTGCATCAGTTTATATCACAGCATCATGTTAAGCAAACAAACAGTTGATAACCAGTTAAACCTGACAATAAATGTGCATCAGTTTTGGCCACAAATAGCTGTAATATTGCTGTTGGGGAGAAAGCCATAACTATTCATTCATCCTTTCTTTCTGTAAGTTTTGAGTTAATGTTGTGGTGAAACATCAACTGGTGTTCAAAAGAAAGTACACACCTGGTGTTTTGGGATTATTTAAAAAAAAAGGAACAATGTAAATATTTTTATAAGTTTCTGATGGTGACTTAAAAGTCAAAATCATTGCATACATGTTTCCACCTCCTTTTGGTACACCAGTTTACATGTGAAAGTCACATATTATCATTATTAGTGTATGTGGTGTCCCAAACTACAATAAGGAGTTGCCTTCCTTACTTTTCCCATGTCATGTTTACCTGAAATTTAAGTGCAGTTACAGTCATGTTTGAGCATTTAATAAATGTTTTTTTAAACTGGCTTGATTTTGTTGATATTTAATGTATTTACTGATTAGGAATATTCTTTTACAGACTGAGCCACCACTTAATACTCCAGAGAACAGAGAATATACAGCGGAAATCATGTTTGAATCCTTCAATGTTCCAGGGCTCTATATTGCAGTTCAGGTAAGAGATGCCAAGATATTTGTAACAAGCCACCTGTAATTAACTCATCAACATGTGTTATATTTGGGATTACACTTTCTCTGTAAAGTAAAGTACTTGTAGTTCCAAGAATCACTTTTATTCATTTCTCCCAAGTTCATATTGAAGCATCAATATTTCTAGTTCAAAGCAGATTCGGGTCAATTTAAGGCAAGTATCCTTGCTATAGATCGACTGCAATAAAGAAATAAGGGAATCTATTGTTCTGTAATGTTAACAGTATCACAACATTAACATTCTCAACTTCAACAAGACCGCCTCCGTGGTGTAGTGGTTAGAGCGTCCGCCCGGAGTGAGGAAGGTCGTGGGTTCGATCCCCGACCGCGTCATACCAAAAGACGTTAAAATATGGTACTTGTTGGTCCCTGCCTGTCGCTCGGCATTAATGGGTACAACAAAGACTGGTCGGCTCGGAGTCAGAATAATGTGTCTGAGTGGGGTATTCATGCTTCACTGCAGCATGGTATCTCAGTGGGCTAGCACTATAAAACCAGCTTCAGCCTGGGCTAGTACAAGCAGCCACACATACACACGCATGCACGTCGTCATATGAGCGAAATATTCTCAAGCACGACGTTAAACCCAATTTCAGTGAATTTCACCTCACCTCACCTCAACTTCAACAATAAAGATACACTTTTGACAAAGTCCCACATTTCTAACTACCTGCAGAGATGAATAATGTTACAATTAACTTACATGACTACTATTTCAGTAAATAACCCTTATTACTTATTAACTTAATGACTTTGAAAGCCTAACAAATGAAAACCTGAGAAATTCTATCTTTAAATCCCTGCAAAGCGTGCAAGTTTCAAAATATCAGCAAACAGTCTTGAAAATGTGGGATACATACAAATATCATTACTGAATATTGCAGAAATGCTCCTGATAGATTCATAACATATAACACAAAGTGTTGACTAGCAAAAAATGTCAAAGTAATTCATGGTCATACCGTTTGTAGACCATCTGCTCTCCGAGAAAAAACGTTCACAAGGCAAGCAGGCGGCATACTGAACCCAAAAACATATCACTGCCAGAAGTTATCTCTCTTTGACACCTCTGAATGCAACCCGCTAAAATTTAGCAATAAACCAAGGTTCAGGCACTTCTATCAACCATAACAATTTTCAGACAAACCCATGAAATAAATAAATTCAAAATAAATACAGTTTTGGCCATAACAGTACTAGAACACTTTCTAATGCATTTTGGATTCATAGCTTTTGGCTGTGGGAGCCATGCCAATTTAAACTTATCAGAGGGGTACACAAAGTCCACAGTCTAGACTACCAGTTGTAAGACTTCCATTTTTGTGGAAGCAACAGTGGCTGAGCGGTTTAGGCGGCTGACTTTGTGTGCTGTCGATTCGGTGCCTGACTCTGAGGGTGTGGGTTCGAATCCTGCATGGGACTCAACCCAACAAAAGTTCTAGAATCTGTACTTTACTCAGAAAGTATTAGTGTTGGGAATCGACCTCTAAAACCATAATCGATTATCGATGTCTTCTCTCGATCAGTTATCAATAAATGATCGACTTCAAGTATGGATTCATGAACACAAGACCAGCTGGATGAGAAGACTGCTATAAGTACATGATCGCTGTCATGTGACAGATCAAAATGGTATGTTTTGTACATAAGCCGACCCCCTGTGATGGGGTCATAATCGCGGCCAACTCAGACTACAGACAACTGGAAGTTACCGATAACTATAACTTCGGTCTGCATTATTCACAGAATTCACAATCATTTTGTGTCTACTCATGCCTCAAAATGAACTGTAGTTGACAGAAAATGGATAATATAATTTTTAAACTTATCCCATCTCACGACTTGCACCTCTCTCTCTTGCTTCTCGACTTTTAGTGGAACGACTGTAAACTTTTTCCATAGGCCTCCTTGTCCATTTGCCGTCGCACTCCATGCTGCTCTCCTTAATTAGCTTCCTAGTTCCTAATAAAGCTTGCAGCATGCTCCACTAATTGCCCACATGACTACCTTGAATGATCATTCTCTTTCTTGTCTCACGACTGTGTGGACGTGCTGTATATTAGGGACATTATTTCACCCTAACATAATGGGTAAAACTGATAATCAGTCAAGGAAAAGGAAAGTTTGTGCTCAATGCAAGACGAATTATTCGTCCCTCGACCCTCACTCGTCTTGCTGTGTCTGTATTGGACAATGTAACTGGAACAAACGATGTGGCAAGTGTAATTCACTAAAAGATGAGGATTTTAAGGCCTACCTTTGTGTTTGCTCCCAGAGAATCGCCGATAGGGACAGGAAATCAACAGAATCTGATCCCACTCCCGCCAAGCGTATCAAGTTACAGCAACAGAAAATCGTACCTTCACACAAGAGAGCGATGTCTGTGGTTCAAGAGGATTTTATGGACGCTTCATCAGATTCTTACTTATCTGAGGATCACAGTGTAATTCACTAAAAGATGAGGATTTTAAGGCCTACCTTTGTGTTTGCTCCCAGAGAATCGCACGATAGGGACAGGAAATCAACAGAATCTGATCCCACTCCGCCAAGCGTATCAAGTTACAGCAACAGAAAATCGCACCTTCACACAAGAGAGCGATGTCTGTGGTTCAAGAGGATTTTATGGACGCTTCATCAGATTCTTACTTATCTGAGGATCATAGTGTAATTCACTAAAAGATGAGGATTTTAAGGCCTACCTTTGTGTTTGCTCCCAGAGAATCGCCGATAGGGACAGGAAATCAACAGAATCTGATCCCACTCCCGCCAAGCGTATCAAGTTACAGCAACAGAAAATCATACCTTCATGCAAGAGAGCGATGTCTGTGGTTCAAGAGGATTTTATGGACGCTTCATCAGATTCTTACTTATCTGAGGATCACAGTGTAATTCACTAAAAGATGAGGATTTTAAGGCCTACCTTCGTGCTCCGATAGGGACAGGAAATCAACAGAATCTGATCCCACTCCCGCCAAGCGTATCAAGTTACAGCAACAGAAAATCGTACCTTCACGCAAGAGAGCAATGTCTGTGGTTCAAGAGGATTTTATGGACGCTTCATCAGATTCTTAATTATCTGAGGACGTTCGGCACCTACTACATACACATCAATCACCTCCTTCCATAGCGTCAGATCACTCGCGGGTGGTATTGATCGATAATTCTTCGTTCCCTGTCCCATCTACACTACCAGGGGACCTTAGATCGACACTATCATCATCCAGATCATCGGTACAAACCCCTTGACTGTCTCAGTTTGTTTGGAGCCTGGCCAACCGCGTTCAACCAGCCAACTGTCTCCCCACAGTTCATTGAACCTGACGAAGCTGGCTACAACAGCGTCGCCGGAGGACGTTCATCATGAATCAACACTTCAGGTTTCGTCACCTAATCGTCTATCCAGATCACCACATCATTCAAGATCACCACAACGATCTAGATCACCTTCACAATCCAGATCACCATCACTAGCCCAATCTAGATCACCATGCCGATCAAGATCACCGGATCGATCAAGATCACAGTCACGATCCAGAGCACAACTACGATCCACATCACCGGATCAATCCAGATCACCTAACTGATCCAGATCACCAAATGGGTCCAGATCACAACTTCGAATCAGATCACCGAACCGATCCAGATCACAACATCGAAGATCGCCAGACCGATCCAGATCACCAAACCGATCCAGATCACAACATCAAAGTAGATCACCTAACCGATCCAGATCACCAAATCAAGCCAGATCGCAACTGCAAACCAGATCACCTGTTCGATCCAGATCACCTTATAGATCCAGATCATGATCACAGTTTCCAGTTAGTGCATCAAATCGATCCAGATCACTTTACAAATCCAGATCATCTTACCAACCCAGGTCACCTATACGATCTAGATCACCTTACAGAACCATTGACCAATCGGGATCACAGTACAGATCCACATCTCATGGCTGATCCTATTCAGATGGTCTAACCAGAGCTTCAATCAGAACCAGATCACCAACTAGAACTACAGCGACCAGGACTAGTTCTTCATATCATACCGGATCACCTAGCCATACTAGGGAATCCAGATCACCGGCTTACCAACCTACTTTGGTACTTGCCAGGTCGAGATCTCGATACAGTTCCTCTGACCGACGTTCGGGTGATCATTGCTCTGATACCACTAAAGGCCTACAATCTCTTATGATGTTCAGTCTACACGCTCTGAGAATCCTTCGATCATCGCTGAGTCATGGGAACCTGATAATAATCCCACTCCTACACCGACTCCGGATCTAAATATGATGATCAGGGCCATAACCTCAGCCCGGAACCAAATACAGCCTTCTACTCCAGCCCATCCGGCTTCGGTAGCTCCTGGCTCTTCATCTGGTCCACCTCCTGAGATTGATCCAGTCCAAATAGCCATGCCTGCATCTCCCGCTCACTCTGAGTTATTTACCCCTGGGGGTAGCTTTGCAGCAGCTGAGACACCTCAGGTATTCCTTTGGATTGTTGGGAAGCTCCAACTTCCCTTGAGTACTTCAGCAGATGACCTGCATCACTTTTATACTCTTAGGAACGGGATTGGTCTACCATCACCCTACCACCTCGACCTTGTATTCTGAAATTATCCAGTACACTAAATGATGGTTTCAAGAGCCTGAAACGAATTAAGGACGGATTCTCTGCTCCCAGATATAATCCTTCTACCTCTCATGTCCATGGCCTAACAAAAATCTCTACGGCTCCAACACTTGATGAGGATATTGGAACCCTGTGTGGCAAACAAGCTGCTTCGCCCTACCTTATTGTGGACCGAGAGTTGGCTCACATGGATTCAGGCGTGAGAAAGACTTTGCCATCTATTAGTTGCGTGATTGCAGCAGTCGATGCTGTTAACACTGCTCTGGAGCATACTTACTCTGATCAAGACGCTTACATCCGAGGATGCATGACTTTTGCTCTGGACCCCTTAACATCTCTTCATGGGAGGAACGATTTAAAACAGTACTGTTTCGCCAGCCTTGGTTTACTGACTGACTCCCTCTTTAATGGTAGCATCCAAGAAGTATCTAATTAAGGACTCATTGAAACAGCGTCGAACTGAACAGTTCACCCCGGACGGGTGGGACACTCCGGTAGGCGGGAGATTGCAGATCTTCGCCCCTGAATTGGACCATCCTCAAAGATCCGTGCGTCACCAACCTGCTTCACGGCTATCAGCTACCCGTTATTGGCAGTCCACCTCTGACGTCGCATCCGGCTCATCGCTCATATCCTGTGGGCCAGCTTCAGACTCTGCAATCCACAATAGGTACGCTATTAGACAAACTCACGATAGAGCTCCTAAGTCCATCGCCTGTCACTCCAGGATTCTACTCCCCCATCTTCTTGGTTCCAAAGAAAAATTCCAACAAACTCTGGCTCATCTTCAATATGAAGTTGTTCAATGCCCGATTCCTGCTTCCACCGCCTCACTTCAGGATGGTGTCGATCAACCTTTTATGCACCATCCTGAAGAAGGGAGACTTCCTCATCAGCCTAGATCTTCAGGATGCTTATCTTCACGTTCCGATACATCCAGAACACCGGAAGTGTTCGCTTCGTGTTCAACGGGAATCACTACCAATGGAAAGTCCTACCATTTGGAATTTCCAGGGCCCGTGGCTTTTTACCCGAATTACCAAGCCCATAATGAGCTTCATCCACTTTCAAGGGATCACCTTCGAAAGCTACATAGACGATTGCATCCAGGCTCAACAGGATCCGATTGTATTGCTTCGCCAGCTACAGTTCACCACCACGCTGCTCAGACAGTTAGGGTGGCTGTTGAACATCGCGAAATCGGAACTAATATCGACTCAGAAACCCCCAATTCATCGGAGCACTGTTCGACACTCGTCAGGGGATGACGTTCGTCCCTCATGACAGGTGGATAAAGATTCAGTGATGCATCCCTCCAGCACTGTCTCAGGTGAGAACCTTACGACAGTGGCAGGACCTACTGGGCCTTCTGACGTCAGCTCAAGCCTTAATGTACAGAGGCCAGCTCCAACTTCGGCCGATACAGCGATTTCTACGCCCGTACCTTCAGGCCAACAACCCCAAGGAACTAATTGGCCTTCCAAAAACGCTTCATCCAGTCCTTCAATGGTGGCTCGACGAACAGAATGTTTGTGCCGGAGTCTCTATGATGCCCTTTGCACCGACTCATCACCTATTCGTCGATGCATCCCTCATGGGTTGGGGAGCTCACTTCCTCGACCACCAAGTGGCCGGGCGGTGGTCATCCGACGAATGGGTACTTCACATAAACGAGCTGGAATTCAAGGCGGTAATTCAAGCCATCTCACATTGGGCAACAGAGCTTCAATCTACCAGTCTGTTGATCCAGTCAGACAATTCGACAGTGGTTTGGTATGTAAATCGACCCATTCCGTGTACGAAAACAAGTGGAAGAAGTTTGAAGACTATTGCAAGCTTAGGGGAATTGCATCTCCCACTTCCACCTCGGCTCAGGTCATTGCTGAGTTTCTCCAGCATCTCCGCACTACTAAGAAACTCAAGGGTACTACGTTAGCTACCTACTTAGCCGCCATTAACTCGGTTTTTGCTACCACCACGGGCACGAAGATTTCCACTGTTCCCGAGTTGCAGAGTCTACTACGCTCCTATAGACTCTCTGACCAGTCCAGGAAGTTCAGACCTCTGGCCTGGGATCTGTCCGTCGTCATTCGTCATATGATTTCTACAGATTATTAACCTTTAGAAGACAAGGACTTCGAACAAGTGACATTCAAGACATTCTTCCTGGTAGCTTTGGCTACCGCTGCTCGTATATCTGAACTGCATGCACTTGATATCAATCGGGTGCGGTTCGAGCGGAAGAAGCATGGCAAGGCTTTCCTGGGTCTCCGCTGGGACTTCATGGCGAAAAACCAACTGCCAGGGCAACCAGACCGGATGTTTACCATTCCCCCGTTGTCCACCATTCTTGGGCCTGATGATAATGAAGATTTGACACTCTGCCCTGTTAGGGCTCTACACGTTTACCTTGCTGCCTCCAAGGATCGTCGACGGCTACAGAAGCGCCTCTTCATACCCTTGTCGAACGCTTCAAGAACTGAGGTTTCCCGGACCACATTGGCCTTCTGGATGCGTGCCACGATTTTGCGAGCCTACACCTTTGCAGGGTTGCCTCCTCCAGCCTCTTCCAATCTTCATGAGACTCATGCACTAGCCTCAACGATGGCCCTCCATAGCAATTGCTCCTTGACCGCTATCATGGAAGGTTGCTTCTGGCGTTCTGATACAGTCTTCTCTTCACATTACCTGCGAGACCTGTCTGTCACGGATGTCCAGGGACTACACCAGTTCGGACCTCTTGTTCTGGCTCAGCAGCTTACATCGGCCCAACAACGCAGATGAGGGACGGTTCTGCATTCGCGTTACTGCTTCCTTGTATATACTGAATAAAAGTTGAACTGGATCTCAACCTTTTGTTCTCATTATATGGGTTTAAGAACTACTTCACTTGGCCTCCATACCAAGGCATCGGAATACGGCCACCTAGCGTGGCCCTACAGACCTGAGGCACAATCAGTATGACAATGCAGAGGTGTTGGGTATTCACGCTTACTGACCTCTACTCCAAGGAGCAATTATGACAGTGAAGTGTGACACTCCCGAATTCCAGTGGATTTCGTTGCGTTCTGCCTCCAAAGTTGCTGGGCACATCCTTTGACTAAGCTTAGGCAAAGGAGTGAGGGTCAATTTGATGCTGCCATCTATTAAGGTCCTGTGTATTTTGAGATCAATATCGTTGTTAAAAAGAATGGCCACTCCTCTGGAATTAGATTTAAAAGGTGCAATTATGGATTGTAAACCCCATTCATTTCTCATGATATTGCAAGTAGATTCATCAATATGAATGTCTTGTAAACATATAATTGAGTGTAATTTTTTCCTATGTATGTTCATTAATTCTTTTCTTTTAGACTTATTAGCAAGTCCTCTACAATTAGCTGAGATAACTTTAATTTTCTTAACATTATCCATTGTAATCAATAGTTTTAGGAGTTCTCAGAAATATCCATATACATACAATCTGTCTAGATATTGTGGCATCTTTGTAAACTGAATGGAGGTAGAAGTGCTCAAAAAATGACTGTGACTGTGAGAAAGCATGTAATGCAAACACTAGTATTGTGATATCATGGGAACCTGTTTTTCTAGATAAATGAAGAGAATAAATAAAAGGAAACAGAAGGTAACTAAAACAGAACAACGAGCGAACCATGCTCTTGGTCTTCGAGATCCAGCCACATGAAAGAAAGCCCAAATGTGCCACCATCGTCCTTGCCTGACGTAATAAAATCACCTCGAAGAAGGGACCTGCATCCAATATTATTAAATGAAGACTTTTTATCCAGCATATTCCGAGTCTATAATAAGCGTAGGAAGATTGTTATCTGACATTAAAAACATACGAACCCCAACTGTGCACACAGAGTGACAGACACACATCCGTGAAAACATCCGGTAGTCCCGGGGTGAATGAAACGGCTATAAATAGAACACCACGCGTACTTGTTTACAAACATTGGATGCAAAGCGAGGACAGAACATTTCAGTATGAATGGCTCAAAGAATAGTTCTCGTTGCCTGATCGTCAAATTTATAGGCACATATGAGTTGTATAATAATCATGTCCAACTTCAAAAATGTTCTTTGATGTATTTATGGCAGATTAAGTCATATACACACGTACAAGTGATACACATGTTTACACTTCAGTGAATATAGAACACGGTGATTAGATGATTAGAAAGCTTCATCAAGTCCAATTGTTCTCCAGTTCTCCTGTGGGTTCTTCCTGACCTGCAGGGAGATGTAGATTCCCTTTTCGAGAATCCGCGTCTGAACTTTATGGGTTTTTCTCAGTTCAAAGGCTTTATTTGCGAGACGGCCACGGTGTTTTTTGAGGAAGACAGGGAGATCAGTTCGGATTGTCACCTTCTTCTCCTTAAGAATACCCCAGTTCTTCCCAGCAGCGCTGTAGACATTCTGTCTGTCTATTGCCCTGACGAACTTTGAATTCTTTGGTATGAAGAAGGAGAAAAACCTTCAAAATATTTCTGCCATCTAGAAAATAGGAATTTCTCAAAAAAATCAATTAATAAGGTAATAACTAATGATAAGAACGAAATCACTGACAGCAAATCAATACTGAATGAAGTAAAACTATTTTATAAAATTCTCTATACTTCTCAGGAACAATATAAGGAAGAAGACTCCAACTTTAAACAAAACACTAAGAGATTATCTTGAAAGAGAAATCAGTTTGGATGAAATTAGCAATGCTGTTTACAGGATGAAGAATAATAAAAGCCCAGGGATTGATGGATTTCCTATTGATTTCTTTAAAATTGTTTGGAAAGAATTACAAATTTGGATCTATAGATTTATTAAAGAAGTATCAACAAAAAATGAAATGTCTTTGAATATGAAAAGGGGTGTTATCACCTGTATTCCAAAAACCCCAAAAGATAGAACATTACTTAAAAATTGGAGGCCAATCACTTTACTTAATGCTATTTATAAAATTATCAGCTCCTGCATTGCACATAGATTAAAAACTACTTTAGATGAACTTATTCACTCTAACCAAACTGGTTTTATACCGGGTAGGACTATTAGTGAAAATACAAGATTGTTATATGATATAATGTTTGAAACAAAGAAACAAAACATTCCTGGTTTGCTGATTCTGATTGACTTTGAAAAAGCGTTTGACACTGTTTCAAAAGATTTTATCAACCTGTTTTTCATAAACTTGAATTTGGCCCTGAAATGATAAGATGGATAAATATATTAACCTATGAAACAACATCTTGTGTTATCCAACATGGTAATCTATCCGAGTTCTTTGCAAATGAAAGGGGATGTAGACAGGGAGACCCACTATCCCCATATCTTTTCCTTTTTGTGGCTGAGATTCTCGGTTGCATGATAAGAAATAATGAAAACATCAAAGGTATTGTCATCAATGATAATGAATATAAACTGGATCAATATGCCGATGATACTGAACTATTTCTTGATGGAACTGAAGAGAGTTTGTACTCTGCTATTGACACAATTAATAAGTTTTACAAAATGTCAGGCTTGAAAATTAATTTAGACAAATCAAAAGCAATCTGGATTGGATCCAAAGCTAAATCTATGGATAAAATATGTAATGATCTGAAAATTGAATGGGTAATTGGTGAATTTGATGTGCTAGGTATTAAATTTACACCAGATCTTAAAGACTTATGGGTAATCAACACAAGAAAGAGACTAGAGGGAATTAATAGACTCTTAGCATCTTGGAGAAAAAGAAATTTAACACTTATTGGTAAAATAACAGTAATAAAAACTCTAGCAATCTCCAAATTGGTCCATATTTTCAATTCCTTGCCAAACCCACCAGCAGAATTTATCACGTCCCTTGACAAAATGTTTTTTAAATTTATTTGGAATGACAAGAATGATAAAATAAAAAGGAATGTAATTAAAAACAATTATGAAGAAGGAGGTTTGAGAATGATTGATGCAAAAACATTTATAGACGCTTTGAAATTATCTACTTTAAGGCAGTATTTCAAAAGAGGTGATAAGAATAATCCATGCATTATACCTTTTAAAGACATACCGGTATTTAATTTTGGAGCAAATTCTGAAACTTACTTTAAGATTGAAAATCCTTTTTGGCGTGATGTGCTAAAAGCATGGCAACTATTCCACAAAAAACATTATATTGACCCTAATAACATTAATGAAATTCTATCCCAACCATTATGGTTTAATCATAATTTTAAAAATCCATTAAACTTCATAAAGAACTGGGCAGATAAAGGGATTATAAATATTAGGGATATGTGTGATGAAACTGGATTATTGTCAATAGATTCTTTAAAAGAATTATATGGTATCAAAGGCACATTTTTAGATTATGAATATTTACTACATGTATTACCTGACTCTTGGAAAAATACTCTTAACCACAGTCATTTAATACCAGTCAGGGATTTAAATATTAACCAATGTCAGATATATCTAGTAAAAACATCTAAAGGCTGCAGGAATTTTTATGATAAACTTATTTCCAATGATATACACCCAAATATGTGTAATAAATGGCAGCTGCTATTTCCTGAAATAGACTTTGATTGGGAAAATATATTTACAGCATACAGAAAAGGATTGCAAGACACAAGACTTTTAGATTTTCAATATAGATTTCTACAAAGAGTTATTTATACAAAAAGAGAATTGCTTAAGATGAAAAAGGTTGATAGCAGTCTATGTTGTTTCTGCAATGATCTAAATGAGAGTGTTTGTCATGTGTACTGGGAATGTCAGGAGACACAAACTTTTTGGAAAAACCTGCAAATTTGGCTTAACAATTTATACCCTCATCCACTGCTATTATCAAAACATATGGTTTGGTTTGGTACTCTACATCATAATATATTACTAAATCACATCATCATTGCAGCAAAAAGACACATTTACAGTATGCAGTATTAAAAATACGCATCCAAACATAACTCTATTTATAAAAACTTTGAAAGAAATATTCTTTGTGGAAAACCATATATGCAAAAGAAATAATAAAATAGAAGATTTCAATCATAAATGGGGTCTTCTCTTCCCAGTACTTTGATGAATTTAAAATGTACCCAATTTACCTGAGGTCATATTTCTCTTTTATTGACTTATAAATGTGTATTAACATGATATTGATACCTGTACATCATCCATCTGTCTGTACATCACTGTTCTACATATCATGACATTGTAATCCTGGGAACCAATAAAAAATAAAAAATAAAAAAAAATAAAAAAAATTTGATGCTGCCCGGAACTTAACGTTAAACCTTGGAGATGTCGAGTTGTGTTTCTCTTTCACCCGCCTTCTTGAAGCAGGGGCTTGCCCGAGACTTTAATTACAGGGGTACCTTGTAAATCGTGGCGAGGCGAGGCCTACTTGCCGAGTTGCGTCCCTTGTCTTGTACAAGGTTGCGGCCGAACACCACATCGCTCGGGAGCACCCATCTCCCTGGGAGTCGTGCTTAGTAAGCCAAGGGGTTCCGGAGAACCCAATACCAGCATAGGAGTTGCGTGCATGCGTAACAGGCCTCCCTTGTACATTGCTATCTACGGTTGTCATCAGTCCACACAGCTCCAAGACCAGCTGTTCGCACTGTCCAGACAGAAGGGTAATCTGCGGCCTGCCATCCAACCGTGGGATAAGTGCAAGTCGTGAGATAGGATAAGTTTAAAAATTTGGAAATTTTAATATAAATTGTATATTTATATACTTATCCTATCTCACGAGATGGATGCCTGCCCGGCCTCCCCACTACTCAGATTACATGATGAGCATGATCATTCAAGGTAGTCACGTGGGCAATTAGTGGAGCATGCTGCAAGCTTTATTAGGAACTAGGAAGCTAATTAAGGAGAGCAGCATGGAGTGCACGGGCGAATGGACAAGGAGGCCTATGAAAAAGTTTACAGTCGTTCCACTAAAAGTCGAAGCAAGAGAGAGAGATGCAAGTCGTGAGATAGGATAAGTATATAAATATACAATTTATATTAAAATTTCCAATTTTGTTTTGCTCCACATCATATTTACTGTAACTGGATGGTCACCTGTCAGCAAACTGACTTGCTTATGTGACCCCATTCCATGTGGGTACAACTTACCATGTTCATGAGGCACCATATAACCTTAGTGTTGGGAAACGTGTGCACAGCTGATGGCTAATTCCGGCTCTATATACAAGACAAATACACACGGTAATCTTCATCCCTGCATATAATACAATTCCCAGCAAATACAAATTAGAACTGAAAAGGTAAATAATCTTGTCTAGTGATGTTTAATTGTAAAAATTGACATCTTCACTGACGAAGACGTTTTCTCTTCTTCGTTCATGAGAAACGATACAATGTCATTTTCTTACTGGTCACCAGGGAAAAAAAATGACGAAAGTGTTACCCATAGATAAGCCGGCCCCCTTCGACAGGCTGCTTTTTCTGGTCTTCAAAATACGGCTTATCTACAGTAATATACGGTACTATTACCTACCATATAGTAATATACTCTACCTTAAACTGTATTCCTCTCAGTATACACATACAGTTTGTCTGTATTCTACTGACCCGTGAAGATCCGGGTTAGAATTGATCTTCAGTGACCCATGCTTGTCATAAGAGGTGACTGACGGGATCAGGTGGTCAGGCTCGCTGACTTTTGTTGACACATGTCATCATATCCCTAATGCGTAGATCGATGCTCATGATGTTGATCACTGGATTGTCTGGTTCAGACTCGATTACTGACAGACCACCGCCATATAGCTGGAATATTGCTCAGTGCGGCATAAAACTAAACTCGCTCACTCACTGTATTGTACTTCCCATCTTCTAAAATGCCACTCAAAGAATGTTCTCTTCTCACTTGGCCTGTCACATCCCCAGCAGTGGTAAACCACCTGAAATGACATTTTCTCCTGCAGGCAGTATTAGCCTTGGCTGCATCATGGACGTCAAGACAAGTTGGTGACCGGACATTGACAGGAACAGTCATAGATTCTGGGGATGGTGTTACCCACGTAATACCAGTTGTAAGTATAGATTTGCTCACCGGAACCATCTTACCAGTGTATGCTGGAGGTAACCTGTGTAATACAGTTGTACCTACACACTTGTTTATGGCAGAGGTTTGCATGGATGTTGCCTCAGCTTGGCTGTTAACCTCCACAGCTTTGTTGCAGGCAGAAGGCTATGTGATAGGCAGCTGCATCAAGCACATTCCTATTGCTGGGCGAGACATCACCTACTTTATTCAGCAGTTGCTTCGAGAACGGGAGGTTGGAATCCCACCAGAGCAGTCTCTGGAAACAGCTAAAGCCATCAAGGTATGTACACGTAAAAATCACATAAATTGAAAGTTTTGCAGCGAATGTCTTCAAATTTGGTGACAGCCTACATTGGGATACAGCAGTTGATTTGAGTGACCTTGGCCTTATTTTCAAGGTCACCACAACAACTTTTACCACTTTTGAAACTCTTGTTAACGCGATATCTCATAAACAGTTGTACCCAAATTTGGTGACAGCCTACATTGGTGGATTGCCCAGACACCAGTCGATTTGAATGACTTTGAACTTATTTCCAAGGTCACCCCGACAATGTGAACACTTTTGAAACTCTTGTTAACTCATTAACCGAGAGACGCATATATAGGGCAAATTAATCAGCTCCTCACAGCGAGTGACGTGTTTATGGGGCAGGTAATTAGCAGTTTCTCACAGCGAGAGCCACATACAGTCGTCAACAGAAAGCACCTCTTATTCAGCGAGAGACGCCCATGTGTGTTGTACTTTTAAAAATCGCACTGTACCTATTATTTCAACCAATTTAGCAGTACTGAGCAAATGTTAGCTTTTCTTACGAGAGATCCCACCTTTAGTATCAATCAGAAGAAGTATTTAAAGTGTTTTGATAACAATTGCTAATCATTATCATAATCATAGGCTTGTACAGCGTTTAGCAAATGAATGCATGTCGGCGAGAAAGGGGATTATGATGTTTTTACAGAGGTAAGTGCCTGGTACTCTTCCTTGGGAATGGATACTAAAATACTTCGTAGGCACCTTGATTGAATTAGATGTAATGGTTTACAGGTTACTAAAAATTATATTTCCTTCAACTACCTAATAAATAGGAAACAATATACGAAATTTCAAGGACATACAAAGAATTCAAACACAATAGAATAGTTTGAATTTACTTTTTTAGGCATCATTACGTTGTCATGTTTCATATACTGAAACATAATGTATAAACACAAGTAATTATACATCCAAGCTCCAATAGATTAAACATCTTTGAACTTACTAATTTGAAGTTTACTGATTTGTAACTAGTTGTTTTCCATAATCTAAAGTTCGTAGAATGTTACCTAAGCTTAATATAAAGTGATAAGTCAGCCTTTGCATCGAAGACATGTATACATGTCAGTGTTATTTCAACAATGAAATGTTTTACTACGTTTGTTACAAAAGACAGTAAGTTGGTAATTCAAAACATTGTCACACATGGACAGAAGTAATATCATAAGTTATTACATGTAAGCCAAACAAAGGTATTTCAAGCATTTTTGTTCAAGCTGTTGAAAGTTTCATGTTGATTTGAATTGTCAGTTTTCTATGCAATTTACATGAGCATTCTGTAAAACGTTTGTATTTGATCTGTGTAATCATCAAATCCGGTGCAATTATCACGTGTATCAATCAACTCAGTCTCTATTGATCCATCGTCAATAAAAGCTGGATAGTATATCAGTTACGGTATCGATACACATGCGTATAATCATTCAAGCAGATTACAGTAATGAGATAATTGAACGCCTCTTTAGACCATGAAATAACATCCTCCGGTAGAATGCATATGTAGTTACGTCCTTGTTGAAAGGTTTGTCCCGTGACAAGTGTAAAATAAACATCTTGCTTTATGGAGTCACGCCCCTCTCTGTGATGTTTATACATGCATGCACATCTGTAATCTTATGAACCTCTTTTGCATTCAGTAAAGATATAGGCACGCCCACCTTCATAAATATTGGGGGTGGGGGTGTCAACTGCAAGTTTATACACTATAATAATTCAGTATAGTGTCACCTCGTGAATTCTGTAATGCGTGTACTCTAGTTTGGATAGTCATTCGTATCAAGGTGAAGATTATATTTACATGTACAGCAAACCATTATGTTTTATGTACTAGTTGTGTGCATAAAATGTATATCAAAATAAATACTACCTCTACTCAGTGGTTGGATTTCAATCGCTTTGTTTTACTTATCGAAAAACACTAAAATGAGGACAAATAAACTCGCCAAAGTGACTATCTACTCCTATTTGTCTTATGTGTATATTTCATACATCGTTACCAGTGTGTATGTTTACAATACACAAACTGTTACATGATAGCTTGAGTTGATAAAGCCGAAACCCAGCATATCGACTGGTCAAGGATATAGCCAATAACCAATCTCTATCCAAGCTGCTGAGTGACCAAACGTGCTCTTCAGAAATTTAAGCCCACACCCCATCACCTGTCCTTTCCTCTGTGACAGGTATCTCATGATCTGATTGGTCGCAGATAACATATGACCAGCCACTACATTGAACAGTTGAGATACCGAACGCTCTATTCGGGAAATTTGATGGCGCCCTATCACGTGACTCTTTGTTTTATGTCTATGCAAGGAATATGTAGTATACATTTTGTATATGTATGTTTGTATGGTCAATGTATGTTTTCTGCATTAAATCTGTATGAAATAAAGTGCAATGCTATGAATGTGCTTTGTGCTAGTCACAGACTAGCTGCTATAGTACTTTCATTAAAATAATTCGTAAACACTAGAAATGTATCGGCAAAACCACTATTTTCGGCCGAAGATTATAAAGTATGAAAGTAAATTCTTCTTTACAGTATGTCATTGTCATAGATGTTTTGTAAATTTAAACCTCACACAATGATATAAGAGAGATAATTTGTTAACATGTGTCTCATCTGTTACATACAAAGAATACATGTGTATGCATATTGTGATAAAAAATAAATGTACAAGCCGACAAAAGGTCTACAAGAGAATTTTGCAATAAAATTACATAAAGCTTGCAATACACGACATGTATTCACACCTGATTTCTTTCAACATATATCTTTACGACACAATTAAACAATCAGGACATGTTTGTACGACTAGACAGTTTCCTGTGATCCCCGAAACCTGCCAGGGAAATCAGGTGTGACTAGCACTAATTAGTCTCGGCACAGAGAGTGGGCAATCAGCGAGGGCTTCCAGGTGTTGAGTAGTGATGGGGCTCTCGGGCTTAATGAGTTAATGCGATATTTCATGCACTGTTGTACCCAATATCTTCAAATTTGGTGACAGCATACATTTGGGGATTATGCAGACAACAGTCGCTTTGGGTGACCTTGAACTTATTTTCAGGGTCACCATGGCACTTTGAACACTTCAAACTCTGTTAATGTGATAATCTTTTGCACTTTTGTACCCAATGTCTTCAAATTTGGTAACAGCTTACATTGGGGATTACGCAGACACCAGTCAATTTAGGTGACCACAACACTTTGACCACTTTTCAAACTCTTGTTAACGCAATATTTCATAAAATGTAGCAACCAATTTTAGTCTCTGAACTGAAGAATATATTGCCATTTCTTAAAAAGTATCTTCTATGTGACCAAAAGATAAAAACTAGTAAATATGTTATATTTCATTCTTCTTTAGTAGTTGGGGTCATTGCCATGTTAGTGGCAAACACTTGTTACTATACAACCTACACTGTAAACAAATTTGTTGTAAAAGGAAACCAAGATATATGTATATTGTTGATATAGTATAAGGCAGGCAGATTCGCTGATCAGAAGGTCTGCTTCACTGGCAGTATGTCTAAATTGAGTTTTATGAAAAGTTTTATTAAAGCTTACTTGTCAAACACTTTCTGTAAAGCATTTTTGTTAAAATGGGCTCCATCCATCTGTGCGTCCATCTATCCGTGCACATTCGTCTTTTCCGGAGCAGAACTTTACAACAGTTCAATATTTCTTCACCAAACATTGATAGATCTGGTGGTGTACTGGTGCCTTTTGGTAGTTTTGGATTTCTGAATAAAATATTTCTGCGTTTCCATGGCAACAAATTTTCACTCTTTTCCGGAGCAGAACTTTAAAACCTTTCAATACTCTCCACTTTGCTATATACACGCCAAAACATTTGACATAATCATAACTAATAGATATATTCATAAAGATTATTCTGCCAATGCGGGGGATATTAATGAGTGAGTGAGTTTAGTTTTATGCCACATTTTAGCAATATTCCTGCAATATTACGGCGGGGGACACCAGATATGGGCTTCACACACGCGTGACGAGAGAACGCTTTAACCATTAGACTACCCTACTGCCCCGGGGATATTGATGACTTTGTCTTCTTGTTAGGAAAATGGAGTTCTGACCCTTTTTTCTTTCAAACATAAATTTCATACATATATTTGAGAATATTTGAACAAAACATCATCTATATTTCTATGTATACATTATTGTGTCTGTATTGTCTTCAGGTTCTGTTCATTGGTTTGTCCCTCACTCACTAGCATCTCACTGTTTCAGTCCCACACAAGTCTGGTGTAGTCACATTCCACTGTGTACTAGGTATTGACTGGTTGTAAGGTCACTTGCAGACATGACTTTATGTGTTAAACAATCCGATATGTCAGTGATTGAGGATAAATCAGGATACAGATTTCTGCATGATTACTTATATGGAGGAATGTGTTTAGCAGCAATGTTATTGTACATCACTCAAACAGTCAGCATCAACAAGGCCTGTACAGTTTCACAAACTTCAAGACTCATTTTGAGACAGCAAATATAGAATGTATTTACTTGAATTCATAGACAAGTGAACCGAGTTTATTGTCATACCACCAACACCAACACACACCCTGGTGACAGGATGTGCTGCACCACTAGGCCTGGGAACATGGGAGCTGGTTCTGCTTGTATAGATCATGCTAGATAAGATACTTGGAGTTGATGTCAGTGACACCCCACCAGTATATAACGTGTGTCTGATGCAGGTGATAGACAGTCAGTTTTCAGCATTCCTGCATCATCAGGTAAGGTTTCTTCTTATTTTGCCTGTGTCTGTTACAGGAGAAGTACAGCTATGTATGCCCTGACATTGCCAAGGAGTTTGCCAAGTATGACCAGGACCCCAGCAAGTGGTTGAAGAAGCATGAGAGCACTAACGCTGTCACCAAGCAGTCGTTTGCAGTAGATGTTGGATATGAAAGATTTCTAGGGCCAGAGATATTTTTCCACCCAGAGGTACTTGGCTGATCTATTGTCATTATTGTCCCATATTGTCCAATTATTGTTGACATACTCTCAGTTACTTTATCTTTCATCTGAATGAGACGTGTGACAATATCAGTGTAAAGTAGAGGAGAATGTTGCTCCTGTCTGTCATGTTATGGCCTAATTCCCCATGTCATGTTGTTTTTCCATCAAGCTGATGTCACATGATATTTCACTGTATATTCTACAATTGTCTCCTTTATTACAGTTTTCAAATCCTGATTTTACAACACCAATATCTGAAGTGGTGGATGATGTTATACAGAACTGCCCAATTGATGTGCGCCGTGGCCTGTATAAGGTTAGTGTATTGTAGCAAAGTGCTGTTATTTCTGTTTACATGTTGATAATCTATTGTTGGTAATATGCTAGATAACACACCAAACCAGGCAGCAAGACCTTGTGGCTTTCTGTATGTTATTGACAAGTAATCATTATTACTTCGTTTCAGAATATTGTACTCTCAGGTGGTTCAACAATGTTCAGAGATTTTGGAAGGAAGTTGCAGCGAGATATCAAGCGATTAGTTGATGCTCGTTTGAGAGTCAGTGAGGAACTGAGTGCAGGAAGAATAAAGGTATGTGTATAAGGGAGTTTCTGTTGGCTGGGGTTTTGCTTACATATACTGGGCATCTTTGCTGTTTGGTATTTGCGGATGTGTAATTAATGTGTTGACTTAGATGTAGATAGGATACTCTAATACAGACTGATGACAGGGCCGAAATACATTGAGTTGCCTCACTTTAAGTGGTGGAACATTGTATCAGTGCCAGTATGGACAGGTATTAGATGGTAATTACAGCAGTCACCAAGTGGAATCATACATGATAAATGAAACTGTGACTACCTGACGCATACTTTTACATGAGTGACCTGTCAGCTGGAAAATAGTTACTGCAAGTCTGTTTGCTTGAAATTGACAGGTTGACATAAGATAAAATATATTCAGGTAATCAGTATTGGTTTTAATCTTGAGTGAACATCTTTATTTCAGCCTAAACCAATTGACTGCTCTGTCATTACACACCACATGCAGAGATATGCTGTCTGGTTTGGAGGCAGTATGCTGGCTTCTACAGTAAGTATGAGAGACGTACTGCTTCTCAGTAACGCAGCTAATTGTCAAGTAGTAACTGTGTCAGCTGTTGTAGGAACTCCTAATTGTTAGTTTGTACAAAGCAGACCATCAATTCACATGCACTCACAAAGTCCTTTCAAAATTCCAACATGACAGACCTTCCACTGTTTGTGATGGACAAAACTTAAATTGGAGAAAACAAATATGTGAGCTTTACTGAAAGATTCTCTTTCCAGATGTTTAAATGTTTATCTTCCATCTTCAGCCTGAATTCTACCAAGTGTGTCACACCAAGGCTGATTATGATGAACATGGACCAAGCATCTGTCGCCACAACCCTGTGTTCGGAACAATGACATAGACAACACACAGCTTCAGATGCCACAATGTTAACACAATGGATCCTTTGTGAGCGACACCTCACTATTATTCTGTAGTTAAATATTTTCTGTCCTTTTAGTTTGCTGAAAGTATCAACCTGATAAGTATGTAACAGATACTAATAGGCCATGAAGCAGGCCCCAGCTTATAAACTTTCCAGCTCAGTATGGTCTTTCTTTCTGCTGATAGAGAGAACAAAGTACATTTCTTTGTCACATGTCTTGATTAACAGCTTTATCAATTGCTTACCGTTATATTAGGGACACATATTCATTTGGTATGAGGAATAGTTTGGGCACCTGCATGACATTTGTCTATTTTCAACATCCACTGTTATCAGTTATGCTGCATGATGTCGGTTCATACCACACTAAAAACATGTAGAACATTGAAAATGTGGAAGGGAAAATTGCAGTTACAATCCTCTTGTTTGGCAAACACATATTTTCTATATCTGACCTGTAAGCTGAACACATATTTTCTATATCTGACCTGTAAGCTGAACACATATTTTCTATATCTGACCTGTAAGCTGATCTGTAGGTATGGTTAAGTCATGACAGGTCATAGAAAATCTTCATGTGACCACAAGGAGCCGATATTCAGATGGGTGACGTTTTATGGGTGTAAATATTAATAAATCTGTGTAGGTAGGAAGTATTTTTAACAAATTATCCAAAACCAGAATGTTTGTGGTCGTCATTCCAGGCTGTACAAATGCTGGCACCACTGTTATGTCAGTTGCTATAGCGCCAATACATCCTGAAATGAGTACATTGCTAATATCTTGTGCATCACTGTATAATGTCTACATGTTCTTCCACTCCTTTATGATATATTGATCACTGAGAAATTCAAATTAGTAATGTGTGAAATCAACCATTTATTATGATTTGTATTGACTTACTTGTGAAAACTTCAGAAATGGAAGTAACTGAAACATGTATACATAATGAATGATGATAGCAGTCTACAACTTGATATCTCTTATAAATAAATATGGGTACATGTATCCTGAACTATAGAAAGTGTTTGTTTGTATTTCAAAATGTATTCTCACCTGGAGACAATTTAAGTCACTGGCCATGTACCTGATGCCATGTTTGTACACCTGGTGACACACTGAAGACCATGTCCACCTATCTGATGTCATGTATGTTCACCTGGTGACACACTGAAGACCCTGTCCACCTATCTGATGTCATGTATGTTCACATGGTGACACACTGACGACCATGTCCACCTATCTGATGTCATCTATGTTCACCTGGTGACACATTGAAGACCATGCCACCTATCTGATGTCATGTATGTTCACCTGGTGACACACTGAAGACCACCTATGTCCACCTGACATCTATGTCATGTATGTTCATGTATGTTCACCTGGTGACACACTGACGACCATGTCCACCTATCTGTTGTCATGTATGTTCACCTGGTGACACATTGAAGACCATGCCACCCATCTAATGTCATGTATGTTCACATGGTGACACACTTACGACCATGTCCACCTATCTGATGTCATGTATGTTCACCTGGTGACACACTGAAGACCATGTCCACCTATCTGATGTTATGTATGTTCACATGGTGACACACTGAAGACCATGTCCACCTATCTTATGTCATGTATGTTCACATGGTGACACATTGAAGACCATGTCCACCTATCTGATGTCATGTATGTTCACATGGTGACACACTGACGACCATGTCCACCTATCTGTTGTCATGTATGTTCACCTGGTGACACATTGAAGACCATGCCACCTATCTAATGTCATGTATGTTCACATGGTGACACATTGAAGACCATGTCCACCTATCTGATGTCATGTATGTTCACCTGGTGACACACTGAAGACCATGTCCACCTATCTGATGTTATGTATGTTCACATGGTGACACACTGAAGACCATGTCCACCTATCTTATGTCATGTATGTTCACATGGTGACACATTGAAGACCATGTCCACCTATCTGATGTCATGTATGTTCACATGGTGACACATTTAGGACCATGTCCACCTATCTGTTGTCATGTATGTTCACATGGTGACACACTGACGACCATGTCCACCTATCTCATGTCATGTATGTTCACCTGGGGATACATTGAAGACTATGTCCACCTATCTGATGTCATGTATGTTCACCTGGTGACACAAAGAAGACCATGTCCACCTATCTGTTGTCATGTATGTTCACATGGTGACACATTGAAGACCATGCCACCTATCTAATTTCATGTATGTTCACATGGTGACACACTGAAGACCATGTCCACCTATCTGATGTTATGTATGTTCAACTGGGGATACATTGAAGACCATGTCCACCTATCTGATGTCATGTATGTTCACATGGTGACACACTTACGACCATGTCCACCTATCTGATGTCATCTATGTTCACCTGGTGACACATTGAAGACCATGCCACCTATCTCATGTCATGTATGTTCACCTGGTGACACACTGAAGACCATGTCCACCTATCTGATGTCATGTATGTTCACATGGTGACATTGAAGACCATGCCACCTATGTCATGTATGTTCACCTGGTGACACACTGACGACCATGTCCACCTATCTGTTGTCATGTATGTTCACCTGGTGACACATTGAAGACCATGCCACCCATCTAATGTCATGTATGTTCACATGGTGACACACTGACGACCATGTCCACCTATCTGATGTCATGTATGTTCACCTGGTGACACACTGAAGACCATGTCCACCTATCTGATGTCTTGTATGTTCACATGGTGACACATTTAGGACCATGTCCACCTATCTGTTGTCATGTATGTTCACATGGTGACACATTGAAGACCATGCCACCTATCTAATGTCATGTATGTTCACATGGTGACACACTGACGACCATGTCCACCTATCTGTTGTCATGTATGTTCACCTGGTGACACATTGAAGACCATGCCACCTATCTAATGTCATGTATGTTCACATGGTGACACATTGAAGACCATGTCCACCTATCTGATGTCATGTATGTTCACCTGGTGACACACTGAAGACCATGTCCACCTATCTGATGTTATGTATGTTCACATGGTGACACACTGAAGACCATGTCCACCTATCTTATGTCATGTATGTTCACATGGTGACACATTGAAGACCATGTCCACCTATCTGATGTCATGTATGTTCACATGGTGACACATTTAGGACCATGTCCACCTATCTGTTGTCATGTATGTTCACATGGTGACACACTGACGACCATGTCCACCTATCTCATGTCATGTATGTTCACCTGGGGATACATTGAAGACTATGTCCACCTATCTGATGTCATGTATGTTCACCTGGTGACACAAAGAAGACCATGTCCACCTATCTGTTGTCATGTATGTTCACATGGTGACACATTGAAGACCATGCCACCTATCTAATTTCATGTATGTTCACATGGTGACACACTGAAGACCATGTCCACCTATCTGTTGTCATGTATGTTCACCTGGTGACACATTGAAGACCATGCCACTTATCTAATGTCATGTATGTTCACATGGTGACACATTGAAGACCATGTCCACCTATCTGATGTCATGTATGTTCACCTGGTGACACACTGAAGACCATGTCCACCTATCTGATGTTATGTATGTTCACATGGTGACACACTGAAGACCATGTCCACCTATCTTATGTCATGTATGTTCACATGGTGACACATTGAAGACCATGTCCACCTATCTGATGTCATGTATGTTCACATGGTGACACATTTAGGACCATGTCCACCTATCTGTTGTCATGTATGTTCACATGGTGACACACTGAAGACCATGTCCACCTATCTTATGTCATGTATGTTCACATGGTGACACATTGAAGACCATGTCCACCTATCTGATGTCATGTATGTTCACATGGTGACACATTTAGGACCATGTCCACCTATCTGTTGTCATGTATGTTCACCTGGTGACACACTGAAGACCATGTCCACCTATCTGTTGTCATGTATGTTCACATGGTGACACACTGACGACCATGTCCACCTATCTCATGTCATGTATGTTCACCTGGGGATACATTGAAGACTATGTCCACCTATCTGATGTCATGTATGTTCACCTGGTGACACAAATAGACCATGTCCACCTATCTGATGTCTTGTATGTTCACGTGGTGACACACTGAAGACCATGTCCACCTATGTGAAAACACTGACGACCATGTCCACCTATCTAATGTCATGTATGTTCACCTGGGGATACATTGAAGACCATGTCCACCTATCTCATGTCATGTATGTTCACCTGGGGATACATTGAAGACCATGTCCTCCTATCTGATGTCATGTATGTTCAACTGGTGACACAAAGAAGACCATGTCCACCTATCTCATGTCATGTATGTTCACATTGTGACACACTGAAGACCATGTCCACCTATCTCATGTCTTGTATGTTCATCTGGTGACACACTGAAGACCATGTCCACCTATCTGATGTCATGTATGTTCACCTGGGGATACATTGAAGACCATGTCCACCTATCTCATGTCATGTATGTTCACCTGTGGACACACTGAAGACCATGTCCACCTATCTGATGTCATGTATGTTCACCTGGTGACACAAAGAAGATCATGTCCACCTATCTCATGTCTTGTATGTTCACCTGGGGATACATTGAAGACCCTGTCCACCTATCTAATGTCATGTATGTTCACCTGGTGGCACATTGAAGACCACGCCACCTATCTCATGTCATGTATGTTCACCTGAGGATACATTGAAGACCATGTCCCCCCATCTGATGTCATGTATGTTCACCTGGTGACACAAAGAAGACCATGTCCACCTATCTGATGTCTTGTATGTTCACGTGGTGACACACTGAAGACCCTGTCCACCTATCTGATGTCATGTATGTTCACATGGTGACACACTGGCGACCATGTCCACCTATCTGATGTCATGTATGTTCACCTGGTGACACAAAGAAGATCATGTCCACCTATCTCATGTCTTGTATGTTCATCTGGTGACACACTGAAGACCATGTCCACCTATCTGATGTCATGAAGTTCACCTGGTGACACATTGAAGACCACGCCACCTATCTGATGTCATGTATGTTCACCTGGGGACACACTGAAGACCATGTCCACCTATCTGATGTCATGTATGTTCACCTGGTGACACAAAGAAGATCATGTCCACCTATCTCATGTCTTGTATGTTCACCTGGGGATACATTGAAGACCCTGTCCACCTATCTAATGTCATGTATGTTCACCTGGGGACACACTCTAGACCATGTCCACCTATCTGATGTCATGTATGTTCACCTGGGGATACATTGAAGACCATGTCCCCCCATCTGTTGTCATGTATGTTCACCTGGCGACACACTGAAGACCATATCCACCTGTCTGATGTCATGTGCAGTTCACCTGGTGACTCATTTAGGACAATGTCCACCTCTCTCATGTCATGTATGTTCACCTGTGGACACATTGAAGACCATGTCCATCTATCTGATGTCATGTATGTTCACCTGGTGACACAAAGAAGATCATGTCCACCTATCTCATGTCTTGTATGTTCACCTGGGGATACATTGAAGACCCTGTCCACCTATCTAATGTCATGTATGTTCACCTGGGGACACACTGTAGACCATGTCCACCTATCTGATGTCATGTATGTTCACCTGGGGATACATTGAAGACCATGTCCCCCCATCTGTTGTCATGTATGTTCACCTGGCGACACACTGAAGACCATATCCACCTGTCTGATGTCATGTGCAGTTCACCTGGTGACTCATTTAGGACAATGTCCACCTCTCTCATGTCATGTATGTTCACCTGTGGACACATTGAAGACCATGTCCATCTATCTGTGGTCATGTATGTTCACATGGTGACACATATAGGACCATGTCCACCTATCTGATGTCATGTGTGTTCACATGGTGACACATTTAGGACCATGTCCACCTATCTGATGTCATGTATGTCCACCTCGTGACACATTTAGGACCATGTCATAGCGACTGACGATAATAGCTGACTGCACAGAGACATCTGTTGTAAATTTAATTATTTCTACAGTTCGACAACTTCCAAATTACACCACTATTGCCAACGATTAAATAAATAGAGGTGAGAGTTTCGCAGAAATGTTGTATGCCATAGAAACGTTTATAAAGCTTCGGACAAAATATTTCATCATATAAGGAAATTGCAGAGAATATGTCTTCCGAGAAAATGTATATGGGGGTTATTTGTGAGCATTAACCTACCCTGAGCAGTGGCGAGGAGTAGGCGGGATGGGGGCCGGTTAATGTCGAATGTGAACGTCGTGGCCAACTTGATCATTAAAGTCTTTGAATGGCATATATCACTGGTCAACACAAACGTGAGATTTCAGCTAGGCATATTTGTCAGATGTTTACAAATGGCAATGGGCACAGACAAAAATAAGCTTACTTGAATTTCAGGACATGTTAGCTATAATTCAAGTAACTTATTGGCGAATTCGCTTGTGTTGTGAATGACCCAGCTAAAGATGCATGCACAGTGTATGTAAGTCATCGCATGTGTCGTATTTGGAATTTAACCTCTCCCATTTGTACACACGTTTAAAAGATGATCAAATTTGATCAAATGCATGTTGTCATAAGAATACATATAACGGCATTGTCAATGATTTTCGTTGGCCTTCCCGTGTCGTGAGTCATGACCTTATGCTGAGTCCGAGGACATTATTTACAACTGAGTAAATTAAGGCAGATGTTTATACACCAACATACAAATGAACATTTACATACCACTTACTAATGCATATTAACATAATGGTTGGGATACAATTAAAAGAATGTTGTATATTTAATATTCACACTTCTAACAAGGAATGTAGTCAGTAGTCAGCCTTGATACATAAACACGACAACACTGAGAGCAAGTAAATACTTTATTCCAGGTGGAATATCCGATTACAGGAAGGCTTTGGGTGCATACCTGATGCAGTGTGTTTCCATAAGAGATAAACATGTACACAATCCAGATTCCCTCATTATACACAAGTAATTCACTGTCAGGTTTGTGAGCCATTACGTGTTAACTTTGCGAGTGCCGTGATGCAACTACTTTCATACAACTGTGATGCACGCGGGAAGGTTACATGAGGGGGAAGGGCTGCAAGGTATAACGTGTGAAAATGGCCAACAATGAGTCCTGTCAATACAACAAAATTCATCGTAAAGGTTACATTATAGTAACATATCACTGACATTAACCTTTTGGTAACATTACAATAGTTAATAGGACTTGTCGAACTACAGTATTGACAAAACTTATGGATAACAACTTCTTTTATTGTACCGAACTTTTATTGTACAGCTTCAGTCCGTAAAATCTAGTTCAACCAAAAAGTTCGTACGTCAGTATGAAGGGATTTAACAGTAATGTTTGCATGATACAATTTGAAGCAGTTGCTTTCCCACAAACGCCTCATATTTGTAAGTCAAATTGTAGCTATTGTATCTGCAATCATAGTAAATCCCGTAAAGTAGCTTTGTGTGTGCATGTATTGTCTGTCACATGAAAATGACACTAGTGACAAGGTGAAGCAGTAGATGTATGATTTGAGGCAACATTCTCTGGAGTACATCTCGGGTGACGTGGTATTACTTGTTGGCATATCAGAGAGCTGTATCTCGTACATAGGTAGCTAATACGGACGCGTTGACACCTAACCTGGAAGATCTCATGTCTCAAGCTTACATAAAATGATCATACACACTAGGCCGATTTACATTCTGTGTGACGCATACTTTTCGTCTTACCGTGCCCCTAGATATCTACTCAAGACAGCTGTGTGCACTTCTAGTGCAATGTCGTTGTGCCTTGATAGACGGCATGGTGATGCAATGGTTATTTTGTACTACTACTGACTGGAACGGACTGGGACAAAAAGGACAGTGTTATGTTTTATGTAGAGACACTGAAACGATGCGAGCCACATTCTAATCCACTGTAGTAATGATGTGTCACGTTTGGTCAAATATATTTCAGAATTACCCAAATAAGACATTACCATAAGCCTTCTGGATATTTAGCCTATAATGTGTGGCCGTGAGCTTCAATCGCTTTTGGTCATCTCAAGTAAATGATTTGATTCTTGGTGGTTTTAGAATAGTAATATTTAGTAATATTCAAGTTGTATGACGGCATCAGTGAATAACCTTGCACTGGATATCTGACACAACCTTTAAATTATTCACAATGTATTATCATTATCCTTTACCTAGATTTTTTAAAATCCTATGTAAGCATTTTTCGACCAAATGGTGTTGGGCACATACACATTTTACACAAAAAGATATAAAACACAGATATAGGACAACGTGAACAATTTTCGACAGAAAGAAAGGGGTGCAAAATCATATTTTGACAAAAGAGAATATGTACAAAATCATTGTTCCTGTCACAATGACTGACCTTGACATTCAACCGCACCAAATAATTTGTCCAAACATTCTTCGGGGCTAAAAAGACGATATCACGGATATGAAGTCTCTGATGTAAATTGTGAGCTTGTGAGTTATTCTCGGAGATTACTTCATTACGCCGATACCCAGAATGACTCGCAGAAATATACTGGAAAAGGTTGTGAATACGATAAACAGAATTGAAAGTAAATTCAGGATTTAAGTGCATTCCTTTAGTTGGAGAAATACTAGCATCAGCAAACTGAAAACAATGTTCGTGTAGTAGTATTTTATAGTCGTGGTCTTGTTATAAATTATTCAATGGGCTTGGAATCATTCTTTCTGTAGTCAAACAGACTGCTGGCCGTGATGTTCCCAACATAGTCCAGAGATTCAACCAGTAGTTTTGCAACCTGAAACCAAGAATAAAATAACATGTTGACAAATATGCAAGGAATGATATGATCGTGAATCAGTTTTGAGTTGTGCTCATGTTGGCTTCAGTCACGCTGTGTTAGCTTGTGAGAGGAAAGACTGAACCGATTCAGGTCTACCACCTTTTTCACTTGGTGGTGAAACCTACAAACATCATTTATCCCAAATGTCAAAACTAGGTTGTGATATTCCTCTTAGCATGCTTTACGATGTGTAGAATCCTTATTTCTGACACCATGTAATATTTTGGAGTTCTTCATATACATGCAAACTCGGGCTCTTCATGAAAGACAACCAGGCCGACTAAACACACGTGTATTTTAATGGCGACTCATGATAGACAACCTCCGTAATCCATACAAGTGGAATGTTCCAACGGTGCCGTAGGCAAGGGGAAGTAACTCATGATATAACTGGTAGTATACAACACTGACATGATAATTGAATAGACGTGTATGGATGCCCAGGGAGGTCACAATTATCGTTCTCACTCGGGAAATATCACTTTTCAGTCACTAGTGTGACATCTACATGTGACATCTACGCTCGGGTATTAATCTTTATGTATGAACCGCTTATCCACCACATACACATAGCATACTCGATTTGTAACTTATGACCTGTGTAACAGCCTACGCCGCGTAGTTTTGTGCATGCTCAAAACTATCAGGCATACTGGGCCATACTGTGTGCATGCTGGCGTGCATAATACTTACACAAAACGATTGAGATGCATATGAGGTGCGTAAAGAATTATCCCAGAAAAGATTATGAAGGAATTAAACATTTGAACTATACTATAATAATTCCTACCATTGCCATGATGGTTGGTGTGGATATTATCAATGCACTATTTTTGTCGGAGACATTGACAGAGGCTGCGCTACTCACTCAGTAATTAGACTCATGTGTATCTCTGTGTAGAGCAATGATGTTGGGAAAAGCCAAGATGTAGGAACTGAAATGATGCGAATACTGGCAGGTTGCAGCAGAACCCCCATTTTCTATACTACTAGGTGAAGTTTCTAAATTAGATGTAAAAGTTTGAGTGCAAAATAACTATTGTTTCTAAGTCCAAAGCGACTTATTTGGAACACACCATGGCTTTATGCAAATTAGTGTGCGATGATATTGTATTACAAAGGACACTTTCTATATGCCCATTTTGAAACTAAACTTAGCTTCATTATAAACTATAGCTGACGTAAAAATGATAACTTCAATACGGAAACTATTAAAGATGTAGCTACCATGGCGTCTCACTATCACTATAAAAAGAAACAGGTAGGAGGGGTCGTCTCAAACGCAAAACCAGGACGAGTGTCTCAGACGGCGGTGGGGGTCGGGCTGGTGTTTAGAGATATGAACTGAGATAAGGTAATCCTTTAGAGGAATTAAACTGGGGAAGCAAACTCATGTCATAACAATATACAAATAATATCCAGTCCTGTCGATCTTTGGGTGGTCATGCCTATATATTTTGAGATATTTAATACGATGGCTGATTTAAGCTTTTCTATGGGTATCATACTCTTTTACATATCTCAACATAAACTTCATGAGAGAAAACGTAAGATGTTAATCAATAGATGAGACATATTCAACACACATGAAAATGCATAAAATATCTTTGAGAGCGACCTAATTGAGCGACCTAATTGCCATCTATAGTCTGATCTATTGTTTTCAGCAGCTATTCGTATGTTTTCTAAGTTTTGCCCGATTTTACGAGTAAACATTCTTTTCTGGATATCTTATTACGCATCCCACTGAACGCCCAGTTAGGCCGATGTGGGTTATTTCGAACATTTGCTATTTGCAATTGTGTAAATTTTAGGGATACAGAGTAACAGCCTAAAAACAGGGTTTTTTCTGTTTCCGACAGTACTTTTAGTTTATGGAGAATGAGGAAGATACCGATTATCCATTTTGCCAAGATAAAGACGATGAAATACTGGATTAGATTTGTTAAAATGTCTGTTACAAACTATCTACAGAAATGTTATGACGTGTATGATGAGCGAGGACATCAGCATTGTTTATGTGGTTATGGTAATATGTGGACATGGTACATATTATCAGATTTATCACATTTCTACCCTATTATACAAAATTGGCATTGTTCTCTATCAGTGTCAAATATACTATCCACGTATTCTCTCCTTGAAAACAGATTCTATGGGGACCAATACCTATTCAATATAACACTAAATCTTGTCTGCAAATGCAAGATTCAGATGCAGCTCACGAGACTGGACGAGTTATGGCGATATGGGGATCTGAAGAGAACACACATTTTGACAACTTTGCGATTTAAACAAAAAATGTAACAAATTAATATCTTTTCATACTACATGTCCGTTGTTTGCTGATCTCAGAAACCAGTTTATTTATAAATATTATATCCGTTATCTTAATTCACTGAAAATTGTTTCGTCGATTCTAACCAATACGTTGTCATATTGCATGCTTTGAACCTATGGCGTTCCCAATATGTTGCATGATTACATTTACACCCATTACTACACTACCTGTACTATAGTCCACGGCCGCTCAGTATTATGAATAAATACATGATAAGACATAGGCGTATTTATAACGGAGATCAGGCAGAGTGTGGTCTGTTTACATAAATATACAGGACTTAAGATAAGTATGTACACAAGATTACGGATTGACTAGTTGTGTTCCTTGTTAAGCGCCTAAAACTGGTTCCGCGAGTAAATGCCAAGATGGTATACACATATACGGACACTGTGTTTGTTGTTTAGCGTCTTACTTGCCAATATCCAGGTTATATGACGGCGGTATGTAAATAATCGAGTCTAGACCAGATAATCCAATGACTATAATAATCATAAGCATCAATTTTCGCAATTGGGATACTAGGGAATTCTTAATAACGTACTTAAAGCAAACATATTATGGTCATGTGGCGTTTATTTTAAATATTCTAGCACAGTGTTGATAACTGTTTGGAGTTGTTCGTAACAAACATTAATCTGTTATGTGACAAAACCTACCTCAAAGTTGGTGATAAGCGGCACCGCGTGGTCAATGGCAGCACGCCGGATGAGATAATTCTCTTTGTTATATGTCGTGTGGTGGTTAGGAAGGTTGATGACCAAGTCTATCTCTCCATTTTCAATCAATCTGCAAAGTGAGGTACATGTATATATATGAAAGGGTACAGCGTTAGAATGGATGCGAGAAAGGGGTAGAGTCTTGCTGTTTATACTGAGTTGCTAACAAAGCTTTTAACAAAACATCAACAAATGATGAACATGCTTGATGTCGGTTCCACCATATTGTGAAAACCTGTTTTCTGTCTCAGGTTTTTTGTTTCAACGAACGGCAATTGTTGTAACTGAGTATCGCATGCAACAGAATGCCAGAGCTATGACGTTTTCCTAACAGAGCACCTCTGGAAAATGTAAGGCTGCACGAGTAATTCACAATACTTCCTGGGAGATTCAGGCCATACCACGCCATATATATGCATGCTTCACCGATCGTGGGGGCATGATCCATTTTGATCAAGCTACCAAGCTACCATGCTGTCTTGATTGTTGACACCCGCCAACATGCCCTGTCGCCCCTAGGTTTCCCGTTTTTCCTCAATACATTACCGTCACTCGAAAGACCTGCTATTTTCAAATATTTACACCTCCAGCAATCAGATGTTTGATATATTAGCAATTCAGCTATAACCTGAAAACTGAGTTCAACTAAAGTGTTCTCACGATATATTGCAAATCGTTCACATTACAATCGACCCTAAAATGGCTCAGCCAAATATAGAAACTTTGACAGTGACAGCCTACATTGGTAGTATACCAATGTCCAGAGTGTTCGGGTTAAGGATAAGGAGTCCTATGCAGAAGATACCCGTCGTGTAACATCCCAAGTCATGTGCTGTATTAAAATCATGGTTAACGATTTCTTCCACGACCTTCCTATCAGCAATGGTGCATCCCAGGGTCTCTCTAGAGAAGATTCAGCCTTCATCCTTTCATTTTCAACAGAAATGAAACACGTGAATCTAAGACAAAATGGGGTGATGACAACTACTGCCGATACTTTCACATACGTCACTGATATGTTATGGTTGTATTTTATTCGTGGCATTTATGAGAATCTGATGTTATTCAGTATGTACACAAGTCTATGAAACAGTTCTCTTAAGATAGATTTCTTCAGCAAAATGTTGGCGGCAAATCGACCTTCCAACGATCCAGGAATGTCTTTAAATCAATCCATTACTACCACCCCCTCTCTACTACTTTTTTACAATGAAGATTAAAACTTAACATAGAAGAGCTGAAGAGGAACACCCACGTAGAAGTTGTATTCTAATCGTTTACAAGTCACTATCCTCTAACAACCCCATCCCGACTCCATGTCCGATGTAGGTGTCAAGACCATTGTCCATATCCGTCCCAAGCGCCAGAGTATGGGTGGGCAATGGACGTTACCGTGTGGCTGTTGGGTGGTCCGTACTGCTGGGTGATGGGGGCGGCCAGTTGACTACCTCCGTCGGGATGTAATGTGTGTTCAAGTAAGAGGCTGTTTTCTCTGTTGCATACATCTATTGATAGAAAAATATATCATCTAAATACCTTTACTGTGGACAAATATACTACCGACGACAAATAAAGGAATTAATTATAACGATAAATGTCTGCAAAATTTATTTCGAGCGTGTACATCAATATCTGGTGTGTCAGTCATACTGCGTCAAACATGACACGTTCCCATTCCGCCTGAAGTGCTATCTCAACCTGGGCTACATTGGCGGGTGTTGGGTCTCATGTGTACACTCTTTGCCCGAGAACATCCAAATCTTTGTGATATGTTAGGGAACTCAGCGGACCAGTCCAAGAACCGTATACCTTCTCGTCGGAGATATTCGGTGACGTCCCTGGGACGATGTGGTCTGGCATTATCATCTTAACCGATGTTGAAATTCGCCTTCCTGTACGGAATTGTCAGGAGCAGATCTGAATATACTGCGTCGAGCAATGAGACAATCCTGTCTTGGTATCGTTTCTAGATACCTGCTTAGCCCAGATCCCATTGCAACCCAACCTGTTTGACGGTACCTATAGCCGAGTAGTTACACGTTTTGATTTGCCAAACATCCCGGCGTCTTTGGATATTGACGCCACCACCTTTATCACAACTTGCCATTGTGTCTGCTCACTGCGATGCTTTGTGTGAGGCATTTGTAAGCGTGAGCTTAGCTCAGTTGGTCTGGCGATTGTGAGCACCTGCACACACTTTAGCTTCTGTAGGTTCATGCATGACGTGAAATGTCATGAAATGTCATGATGAGGCGTTTTAAAGATGCTACACCATTGTGTTGGAAATGTAGTAGCAATATTCAAAATATTATAACTGGTTCTCTTAATGTTGATTGGCTGTATATGATATGAAGAACTAACCAAGTTTAGTGACTCATCAAATGTATTGTCTCTACTGTGTAGTGATCTACCCAGTACATCCCAAACAAGAACATCGCTCACCCCGTTAGTGTAATCGTGCACAGGAGTTGCGAGTAGATGGACAGGGTCTCCTTTCACGAAGCAACCTTTACTAAGGTTAAACTTACCTCCCATTCTTTCACATTGCACTATGGTTACCTTAGTAACTTACGATCACCTTAGTGCTTTGTGAAAGGAGGCCCAGGGTCATATCTGTCTTGGGTGACAATTTCACACATTCTTACTTCCATAACTAGTTTCTGTGTTGCACAACCTACCTGGTAACCAAACAATGATAGCCTCTTGCCGAATGGAAGGAAGTGGGGGAGGAATGATTTCTGCATCCCCAGCAAGACACCACTGCCAGCCTTGGGAACGCGGAATCCTGCAGACATTAGAGCTTTGAGAAACGCTGTATACTTGGTGCTACCAAAACACGCCACCTGAAAACATGAAACATAACATCGCAAAACCTGTTATGGTATAGTGTATTAACCTTAAGTATATGTACGCGATGAAAGAAGTAACATGATGCCTGGAAAGACAGGGCTTCACGTGTCATGTGTGGGAGGTAACCAATCCACAACCCTCACAACAAGTTAACTGAGCAATACTAAATACTACACTACAATCACGCAATTTAAACGACGGTACCAGTACTTCCCGCATTCGGGTTTAAAGTCTAGCAGCTAGATTCAGATCGTCTGACGGGCATGCGCAGACAAGCTAGCTGAACGAATAGCAACTTGTTTGTTGTATTTTTCTGTCACACCGATGAACTGCTGTAGTGGGTATATAATTACATTTGCCGAGACGTGAAACTGTTTCAACTCAACCGTCACTAGCTGACTGTGCAGTCATCAGTACTGATTGTAAAGCTTGTTCACTCTCTTAGCGTCTGAATGCATGCTTAAATGCCTTACTAACACCAACATTCCAGTGTTACATCCAACCCTGATGTCACAAAATCCCACAACGGTTCCGTCTGTAATACATTACATAAGTTTTAATGTTCTTCGTTGATAGGTCTTTACGGCAGGAATATTGCCAATGTGAAGCTCACTCACACTCCAGTTGTAAACGTTTGTACGTACCTCCCCAGCTGATGACATCTTATACATCAGCTGTATCAGTCTGTACGTACCTCCTTAGTTGAGCCATCTTATACTCCACATGTATAAGTCAGTACGTACCTCCTCAATTGATGCCATCTTATACTCCACATTTAAAAGTCAGTACGTACCTCCCCAGTTGATGCCATCTTATACTCCACATTTAAAAGTCAGAACGTACCTCCCCAGTTGATGCCATCTTATACTCCACATGTATAAGTCAGTACGTACCTCCCCAGTTGAGCCATCTTATACTCCACATGTATAAGTCAGTACGTACCTCCCCAGTTGAGCCATCTTATACTCCACATGTATAAGTCAGTACGTACCTCCCCAGTTGATGCCATCTTATACTCCACATGTATAAGTCAGTACGTACCTCCCCAGTTGATGCCATCTTATACTCCACATTTAAAAGTCAGTACGTACCTCCCCAGTTGATGCGATCTTATACTCCACATTTAAAAGTCAGTACGTACCTCCCCAGTTGATGCCAGCTTATACTCCACATGTATAAGTCAGTACGTACCTCCCCAGTTGAGCCATCTTATACTCCACATGTATAAGTCAGTACGTACCTCCCCAGTTGATGCGATCTTATACTCCACATGTATAAGTCAGTACGTACCTCCCCAGTTGATGCCATCTTATACTCCACATTTAAAAGTCAGTACGTACCTCCCCAGTTGATGCCATCTTATACTCCACATTTAAAAGTCAGTACGTACCTCCCCAGTTGATGCCATCTGATACTCCAACTGTAAAGGTCTGTACGTACCTCCCCAGTTGATGTCATCTTATAATTCAGCTGTAAAAGTCAGTACGTACCTCCCCAGTTGATGTCATCTTATACTCCACATGTAAAAGTCAGTACGTACCTCCCCAGTTGATGCCATCTTATACTCCAACTGTAAAGGTCTGTACGTACCTCCCCAGTTGATGACATCTCACACTTCAGTAGAGGATCAGCATCTTTCAGTCGTGGCCAGGAAAACATTGGTGCCTGGGATCAACAACATTTAAATTATATTTGCGAAAGATAAATTAAAGCTTCCTCTTTTTTTCATTCCCGAGGGAATAATATCAAATAAATACATGAATATGCAGTAACAAACGTTCTACCTCCCGGCTATCATCAGGTCCAGCACTACATTATTTGACCTTCGTCTATTACCGTCTTCAGACTGGGACGTCATAGCTGTGATGTATTGTCACACAAAGACAAATATTGTTCCTGGTAAAATAATTTAAGGAGTGTTTCAACATTATTTTACGTCATATTAGTGGGAATTTTAACTGACATCACCGGCAGATCGGGGTAATTTGTGTGCAGTATAATGAGATTTCCGGCATGGAGACACCAACATAGTAACATGCGGTCTACATGTATGGCAATACCAAGCCGAACAGGAAACAGCAAATCAACCTACAGTGTTTGACTGCACATCAAAACTGGAAAGCATTGCCCAGAATACTGTGTACTGTACTCAACATTGTACAGTGTCGTTTTGGTTTACAGGACATAAATAGAGCACTAATCAAAGACAAAGAAATGGGAAATGTACAGCAGTGAGAAGGGCGATATTATTCTGTACCTCATGGGTTCTGATATATTAATACCGTCTGACGCTAAAAGGAAAGGATAATGACTGCTAAGTTAATAATCTAATTAAAATAGTCTGTAAATCTGTTAGCACGAGTATTTCGAACACAACGTGTCGGTAGAATCAATGTACATTTCCGAATTGACTTTCAGGTTGATTTCTTTGATGTGCACGAACCATAATAGACGAGCACCAAACCCTTTTAACGTCGGACTGAAAGGCAGTTCTTGTACTTTTTTCATCAAGTAATACTGTACCCCGAAGGATGTATCAGACACTTTCAGTTACAGGGCACAGGTTGACATACAACAGCCAGACAGTTGCCCAGAAGTGACATTTATAACTCAAATTGCGCTACAGAATCACATTGGTCGGATGATTCGAAAATAAGGTGGCCTCTCCCTCTTCCCTCTAACATTGCACTTTGTGAATATAATAATAATAATGAGCATTTATAAAGCGCTGTATCCATCTACAAGGTGCATGCTCAAAGCGCATATATCACCTACACTTACTTTTATTCCTACATACGTTGTAGGTAGCCGCGGGGTACTCAGAGTTGGTAGTGTTTCCAGATTGATCGGCATATTCAGCATGACCTTGGTCCCTGTTTCTATGAAATCTGTCCCAATCGTCTTAGAAACAAATGGAAATGAACGAGATGCTCTCAGATTCAGCTCAATGACCTGAAAGTAAGAAAACTTCAATCACTCAATGAAAGCTACATGTATACCACACGAGGACACGGAGCGTGTCAAGTAACTCCCCTAAGCTACATGTATACTACACGAGGACACGGAGCGTGTCAAGTAACTCCCCTAAGCTACATGTATACTACACGAGGACACGGAGCGTGTCAAGTAACTCCCCTAAGCTACATGTATACTACACGAGGACACGGAGCGTGTCAAGTAACCCCTAAGCTACATGTATACTACACGAGGACACGTAGCGTGTCAAGTAACTCCCCTAAGCTACATGTATACTACACGAGGACACGTAGCGTGTCAAGTACCCCCCTAAGCTACATGTATACTACACGAGGACACGTAGCGTGTCAAGTACCCCCCTAAGCTACATGTATACTACACGAGGACACTTAGCGTGTCGAGTAACCCCCCTAAGCTACATGTATACTACACGAGGACACGGAGCGTGTCAAGTAACTCCCCTAAGCTACATGTATACTACACGAGGACACGTAGCGTGTCAAGTACCCCCCTAAGCTACATGTATACTACACGAGGACACGTAGCGTGTCAAGTAATCCCCCTAAGCTACATGTATACTACACGAGGACACGGAGCGTGTCAAGTAACTCCCCTAAGCTACATGTATACTACACGAGGACACGTAGCGTGTCAAGTACCCCCCTAAGCTACATGTATACTACACGAGGACACGGAGCGTGTCAAGTAACTCCCCTAAGCTACATGTATACTACACGAAGACACTTAGCGTGTCAAGTACCCCCCTAAGCTACATGTATACTACACGAGGACACGTAGCGTGTCAAGTAATCCCCCTAAGCTACATGTATACTACACGAGGACACGGAGCGTGTCAAGTAATCCCCCTAAGATACATGTATACTACACGAGGACACGGAGCGTGTCAAGTAACTCCCCTTAGCTACATGTATACTACACGAGGACACGTAGCGTGTCAAGTACCCCCCTAAGCTACATGTATACTACACGAGGACACGGAGCGTGTCAAGTAACTCCCCTAAGCTACATGTATACTACACGAGGACACGGAGCGTGTCAAGTAACTCCCCTAAGCTACATGTATACTACACGAGGACACGGAGCGTGTCAAGTAACTCCCCTAAGCTACATGTATACTACACGAGGACACGTAGCGTGTCAAGTACCCCCCTAAGCTACATGTATACTACACGAGGACACGTAGCGTGTCAAGTACCCCCCTAAGCTACATGTATACTACACGAGGACACTTAGCGTGTCAAGTAACCCCCTAAGCTACATGTATACTACACGAGGACACGGAGCGTGTCAAGTAACTCCCCTAAGCTACATGTATACTACACGAGGACACGTAGCGTGTCAAGTACCCCCCTAAGCTACATGTATACTACACGAGGACACGTAGCGTGTCAAGTAATCCCCCTAAGCTACATGTATACTACACGAGGACACGGAGCGTGTCAAGTAACTCCCCTAAGCTACATGTATACTACACGAGGACACGGAGCGTGTCAAGTACCCCCCTAAGCTACATGTATACTACACGAGGACACGGAGCGTGTCAAGTAACTCCCCTAAGCTACATGTATACTACACGAGGACACGTAGCGTGTCAAGTACCCCCCTAAGCTACATGTATACTACACGAGGACACGTAGCGTGTCAAGTAATCCCCCTAAGCTACATGTATACTACACGAGGACACGGAGCGTGTCAAGTAATCCCCCTAAGCTACATGTATACTACACGAGGACACGGAGCGTGTCAAGTAACTCCCCTTAGCTACATGTATACTACACGAGGACACGTAGCGTGTCAAGTACCCCCTTAAGCTACATGTATACTACACGAGGACACGTAGCGTGTCAAGTAACTCCCCTAAGCTATATGTATACTACACGAGGACACGTAGCGTGCCAAGTACCCCCCTAAGCTACATGCAGGGGGCACAGTTTCTGCTTTTCACATCTGGAGTGTGGCCGTAACAGTGAACATATAAGTACATCTGTACAGGACATTGCGGCCTCCTCACAAAATAACATTGTGTTGTGTTAACTGATTAAAGTCATTTCCAACTAACGCAGGTCACGAATTAATTACTCATGTTTCATTGAACACACCCCGTGTTGCTATTATTAGAGTTATCAGAACATATTAAGAAGGGCAGGTTCTTTATTGAGCTTAACCAGTCTATGGGTTAATAGCAGTAATTACTGAACTTGGACTCCCAGCGTAATAAATGATTACATATTATCAGTTTCCTCAGCAAATTCTAAAACCTGGTAAAAAAGATTTAAGTATGTTTTTGGCTTTCTGTTTGTAAGAGTGAGTGAGTTTAGTTTTACGCCGCACTCAGCAAAATTCCAGCTATATGGCGGTGGTCTGTAAATAATCGAGTCTGGACCAGACAATCCAGTGATCAACAACATGAGCATCGATCTGCGCAACTGGGAACTGATGACATGTGTCAACCAAGTCAGCGAGCCTGACCACCAGATCCTGCTAGTCGCCTCTTATGACAAGTATGGGTTACTGAAGGCACATTCTAACTCTGTTTGTAAGAAACAAATATGTAGCTCTCTATTCTACGAAAAATAATGAGTACAATGTACGAAGCCCCTTTCTGGAGTCGTGGTATTGCTGGAATATTGCTAAAAGCTGCGTAAAAACACTCCCTCACAAACGAACGAAATATAACGAACCCCAAATCTTGCCCGCCTTCATGACGAAGGGAAATGTAGGTGCACTGACCTTTACATCACTGTCCTTCACAAGAAACTGAATATTGAGTGGCCCAGAAATCAAAAAGTGCATGGCAATTTTTTCTGTGATGTCACGGATCTGGAACACAAACACTGAAGCATTGATTATGTGATATATATGCCGGGATACAAAGACAGCTGTTCCGTAGTGTACCAATTTACTCAGGTAAATCATTTCATCCTTCACAAACCGATTTCAGTAAATATTGTCTTCGTAAAATGTCCATGTTTTTATCAGTATGAACATATGCGTGCTAGTATCTCCTTGAAACATCAGTAAGTTCTGTACGCTTGCCTTAATACAGTATTTGTGATCGGACTGGCAATGCGGTGTACACTAACGTGCAAAAGTAACATGACAACCGATTCGAAGCTCCATAGCGAAAAGACAACAAAACATAAATGATCAACATAACGGTACTGTAAACATCAGTACGTATGTGCTAAAGCTTTGTCCAAACAGTCATAACAATACAATGAACAATGAATTAAATATGGTTGGAAATGTCATGTGGCGTACATAAAACAGTTTGTCAATACATGTCCAAATCGTCAGCTCGGCACAAGATTACCATAGGCGGTGTTATGTGTCACCCTAGTAGCGTGTGTGGCCTCCGCTGGCGTAGATGCAGGCAAACACTCTCCTACGCACTGAATTCGCCACTCGCCCGATGACGTCACGTGGGATGTGTCTCCATTCTTCATGGAGGGCCACAATGAGCTCATCCCGGGTGTGTGGAGGTTGTTGTCGCCGTCGACTTTGTCTGTCCATGACATCCCAAAGGTGTTCTATGGGATTAAGGTCTGGAGAGTGAGCTGGCCAGGGTAACACATGAACGTTGTTGACGTAAAGGAAGTTTTGCACAACGTTAGCAATTTGAGGCCAGGCATCCTCGTGATATCCTGTGGCATCTGACGAAGGAATGGAAGCACGACAGGGCGTAGGGCGTACCTCATCTCTGTAGCGTACGGCATCAATGATGACCAATGGCGTCCTCTCGTCACCACAAATGCCTCCCCACACCATGGCAATCCTAACCCCCAAATGGTACAGCCTCTTGTACGAAACAACGGGCAGTGCATTCTCCTCTTCGACGATAAACACGTTGTTGGCCATTATACCGACATGCAGAACCTGCTCTCGTCGGTGAAGAGGACGGGCTGCCAGTTTAGAAGTTGCCAATGCCTCACTGTCTTCGACGACGATGTTCATTGATCAACAGCGGGCCTCCGTAGGGTCTGATACCGGCTGCTTTTAGTCGTCTTGCTACTGTCTGTCTGCTGACCACACGACCTAACGCATTCGACGCCTATGACGTCACAGGCAAGAATCTGTTACGCAGATGCAAAATGCGTAGGAAGCGATCTTCAGGGGTCGTGGTCACCCTTGGTCTGCCTGTTTGTTGTCCGACCTGTTACTCGCTGCACCAAGTTGCCTGCAGTATCACGAGAGCAGTTCAAGTTTCTGTTGGACGTTAGTTTACGCCTGAGAGCAGTTGGCCTGCCTCAAACTGGTAGGACTAAGCAGCTAAGCGAGAGGTAACCAATATGTTCAAATTTTCTGAGTGTAATCTGCAGACTTTGCAACAAATATGAAAACATAATGTTTTGGTCTGCAAACAAAATCTGGGACCACACCTTAGGAAATCGATTGAAAACGGCCAATTTCATTCCAGGTCCCTTGTTTCAGTTACTGACAATAGGCCAGACGACTACAAGTTGTCTTCTTGCTCGGTAACCGCTAATTGAACCACAAATCGACACTTTCCAGCCAGATGACATGGGTTTTGGAGCTGAAATATAGGGCAACAGTTGATGGTCTGAAGTGATGTTTTCAGATGAGCACTGATTCACTCTGGACTTTATGGAGAGGCGTGTCATGCGAACATCCACGTAAGACATGAAAGAATTGGAAATGGGTTTGTGAGGAAATATGGCAGGATCACCATGACAGTTAGAACGCCACAGCATATTATCCATGGAAGAATCAAGGGACAGAGCTAACTATAGAAGATAATAGTGCCAATTATTGTGACATTTGCGTGATGGCCCACATTTTATCCACCCGCCAATGTCGTCTTCCAAACATGTTGAAATTCATGTTACTCCCAGACCTTTCTTTTGCCTAGCCATCCATACCATCACTTAATACCTCGTACTATTTCTGAAATAATCTGTTTCGAATGTCCCCTATATCCTGTGGAAAGTACATATTACTAGTGAGGCACAGAAATGGATCTAGTGTGTGGCAACTTCTTACGACAGCCAGGGCTTCTTCACTTATAGTTTGTGTGGGCAGCATCAGCGTCGCATCACCACTGTGAACACCGGCGTTTTCAACATGTTCACTTATAGCGTGGCTAACAATCTGAAACAAAAGACACGGAGAGTGAGAGGCGAGTTTCAATATTTGTATTGGAGTAATCATAACGAACTTTGTCAATACATGGAACTTACATTCCGATATTTCCACGTTGTGTGCCATACATTGAGTTTGATTTTGAATCCCTTGTGAGGTAGTACTTTACTAAGAAGGTGTTATTTCAAGTATTAACATGTTACTTCCGAACGGCTCCGATGGTTCTCATACGAGCTGATCAAAATGATGGCGGTGTCGGGCTTGGTGACTTGACTGAATACATATTGATGGTCATGTTTGCAGACAATTGTTTCTCCAGGTCACAGGTCGATTATATAGTTGGAAGGAGAATCTAAGCTTTACTGTTAAAGATTTCGAGTTATTGTGTTAACACATTACTACACGAGTATTTTCGTGACTATGACTTTAACAAAAGAAATAAATGATCAAAGGACTTTGACAGAGAATCACTCCCCATCTCCTTTCAAACAAAGATCGCGGCGATTGGACAAGTTCTAACCAACCCTTAGACACATATGAACATGTGACATAACATTGAGGCATGTAACAAATGAGATGAAACCATGGAAAGAATATATTCCCATGAAAACTGTTAAATGTTTATAATCGTGACCTTTAAGAATTCAACGTATTACTTTAACAGACAACTTACAGCTCCATCAGAAGCAATCGCATCCATCTCAACTTCCCGAGATCCGTTGTAGAATTTCGTTATAACAACCGGGTAGTCACTAGAAATCTGCGCTGCTTCCTGCAGGTAGCCCTGTAACTCCTCGGGTGTGTACGCCACGTTCATCGCTGAGCCACTAAGGATATAGGAGGGCCTCAACAAACAGGGGTAGCCAACAGTCGCAGCGAAGTCTAAAGCTTCATCCTAAATGGGAGACAAGTATATTCATAAGTTAGTTATATTCAACGAGTGAGTGAGTGAATCTGTGACTGAGTGAGTGTGCATACATACCAGTTTTGTGAGGGACCTCCATTCAGGCTGTCTGATACCAAGAGTGTCACATATAGCGGAGAACACAGGTCTATTTTCAGCGTTGTCTATCATGAGTGCGCTTGTGCCCAGGATTCTCACCCCTCTCTTGTGAAGAGGAAGGGCCAGGTTGTTTGGGATTTGTCCACCAACAGACACTACAACTCCTTCACAACGCTACAACATAGCCCACATAATACATTACGAGTATATAATTATATGAGTGAACAATAGCTGTACCTTCTGTTGAGTACTGAGAGAGGCCAAGTAATGTCAACCATTATAAACACTTTCCGTTTTTCATCTTAATGATGGTATGTACCAAGCTCCATCTGCCTATAGTAAAGTCACACTGAGTTGTCATAGTATACTAAAATGCGAGCTACACAACAAACAATATGAAATGCGAGGCTTCTTGGGAGCTGACAGATCAATCTGATGTAAAAGCAACAGACTAAAACATACAAAAGATCATATGAGGAACTTTTAATATCGATATCTTAAAAAAAATCACTATAAAATCGTAACCCCTCAAGCACTTCGACTGCTCTATCGTTTTATCTGACTATTTGCTGTGAAGATAGGGGAATTAAAAATTATATCCCGCAGCACGTTTTGTAGAAATAAATATGTCTAGAAGATACGGGAAATAGTCAATGAAATAATCAGAGCAACAGCAACAAGAATCGTTGGGAAACCCTACGCAACAGGTAGGTATTATAGTAAACATGTAGAACACTTGATCAGAGACTTGAAGAAAACAGTGGGCTTAAAGCCGACTCACCTCTTGTTCGTTGATGTCTAATACTCTCTCCAACGACAATTCCTCGAAGTAGAGACGGTCACATTCATCAAAGTCGGTGCTGACAGTCTCCGGGTTATGATTCACAACAACCTGTCCCCAGAACACCGTAAGTAACTCTCTCTCTCTCAATAATACAATAATGTATGGTGCAGACCCCTGACATGTCACTTAGGAGAATCAAGAGAAACAATGAACTGGTTATTGTTATTGTTGGCGGTATGGTGCGCTGCTACTGATTTTATTGTGGCATAAAAAAAACCCGTTTGATTCATAAATTCTATGCACATGTTGCTGCCCGAACGGAAAGACTATTCTATTTAAATGTAGAATGTTGAAATGTGTGCCTTCGAACTTAACTGTTTTCTTTCCGAGGTCCCGCAGTGTTCTGATGCAGGAAACGGCACACCAGTCGAATTCAACACTGCTTCCGATATGATACGGTCCGCATCCCAGAACCATAACGCCATGATCGTTGAAGGATACGTCATGCTCCTGGAACAACATAGTCATTATACACGTCAAGTTGCCATCAACAACATCTGTGCTCGATGAGAACACATATCTTTAATGAGCTCTTGACTGAGATCGCGTACATTTGTTACACTCGAACACTATCTAAAAGGCATTTATCTATTCATTGCTTCGGCCGTGGGAGCCGTGCACATTTACACTTGTCAGAGGGGTACATCGAGTGCGTCATCTACACTGCCAGTTGTCACACCTCCAGTGTTGTAGAAAGCCGCGTTGGCCGAGTGGGTTAGGTCGCTGAGTTCGTGTGCTGGTGATTCATCGCCTCGCTCTCAGTGTTTGGTTCGAAGCCCAACCAAAGTACTAGAATTAGTACTTTACTTAAGAAAGTGTAATTCCAAATGTGACTTATGTTAAATTTGACCATTTTCTAATAGACATATATGTCTTCATCCCGTGACGACTTAGCTACCTGGGCATTGCGATGCAGTGCGACGTTCATCTTAATAAAGGAAGATCCTAAATGTGGTAGATACTGATGCAAAACTAGATATACATAGGAACAACGTAACGACCCACCATGCCATTGTAGGTACAGTACAGGTAGTTGGTTTGGGCCGGATACTCAGCAGCTAACGTGTCTATCTGAAAAATATTGCCAAGGCCCATCTTACAATACATTCATGGATAATAACGTAAGATATCTGTCTGCTCGATTTTCGAAACTGAAAACTTGTTACTATATTTCGTATTAGTTACAACTAATACAACTGAATGTTTCATATTGTTCAAACACATCTATGACAGCCTTCCATTGTTTGAGATTGTCTAATACAACTGAATGTTTCATATTGTTCAAACACATCTATGACAGCCTTCCATTGTTTGAGATTGTCTAATATTGTTACATACAATGAATGTCTAATTCATATTCATATTCAAACACATCTATGACAGCCTTCCATTGTTTGAGATTGTCTAATACAACTGAATGTTTCATATTGTTCAAACACATCTATGACAGCCTTCCATTGTTTGAGATTGTCTAATACAACTGAATGTTTCATATTGTTCAAACACATCTATGACAGCCTTCCATTGTTTGAGATTGTCTAATACAACTGAATGTTTCATATTGTTCAAACACATCTATGACAGCCTTCCATTGTTTGAGATTGTCTAATACAACTGAATGTTTCATATTGTTCAAACACATCTATGACAGCCTTCCATTGTTTGAGATTGTTTAGTTGGGTATTAGTCGGTTGGTTATGTATTATGACCACAATAAATATATGTCATTCAATGTTTTTAACTTGAAACTGATTTATGATTTTGAGGGAAACCTGTGGTTAGGGCTGATGGAAGCAGCAGCAGTACATTGAGATGCCCTACTCCACCTCCACTACGGAGACACAGCGTTGTAAGATCAACTGGTAAATGTTTCCCCCAAAAATAATAAAGTAGAATGCAGTATGTTTAATTGGATGTTACTTTATGTCACATTAAAGGTGATTGTATTTACGCATTTACAAAAACAACATAAGGGTATGCATGAAAGCGACTGACAACAACAATGAAAATTTACTAATACAACAACGACTGTAGTAAACTGTACGTGGAGGGGAAATAAATTTATAAAGCATCTAAGATTAATTGGAGACTCTGGCTGATTGAGGGCTTGTGTCGGTGAATATAACCACATCACTTAGTTAACCTTTATCAAATTATGTGAAATCATGGATGTTGTTTTAAAGGATTAGTACACTGTCCCATATGTTGTTGTTATAAGGGATTAAGAAGATGTCATATGTCACTCCGGGGTCACCAACAGACTGGCCACGCCCGGAACAGACAATGTTCTGAATGTCAACGTGTAAGGACACTTCGGCAAGGTAACATATCAATCTGGTTTACCTGCCAAATCGGTTTCAGACTGCAGCTTTGTCTCCCTAGTAAAAGCTTGACTGTAAGGACTCAATTACGACAGCATCCGACCACGAGGTCCAGATGTACGTGCTATGTGGCTGCCATGACTTGATCATGACAACATCTGAGTGAGGGTTACACGACAGGACGTTAGACAGCAAAGGTGGCCGTCGGATCAAAGTTATGCATGCGATGGCGGGTGCGAGAAGCATCACTGCACATCACATGATCCTAATACTGGTCATCGTTGTCGCGGTGAGATCTCCCGTTCTCACGTCTTCCTTCCCTATAAACCCATGGACGGGACGGGACATCTCTTCACAGTACGGCAATGCACGCCCTCATTTTGGACACCATCAATTGCCAAGGGTTTCGATTAGATATCGCCTCTGTCATGTAAATTGTGAAGGTTTAAGTATACACATGACACTAATCATAGTAAGCTCACTAGATAGGAGGGTTACCATCCCGGACCTCGATAAGACAGATCCCCAACACCGCCTACTCCTCACCTTTACATAGATGACATCGAGCTCCTTGGCAAAGGAGGCTCCAATTCGAAAGAACAGGTTCCCCATTTCGAGTCCTTTTCTAATGCCGTATATTAGTTCGGGTCGTCATGACTTGATTAATGTGGAGGCTATTTATGATATGATTATATTTTATGTACCTATGCACATTCTATTTATCTGATGATAGTCATGTGATGCATGACTCATGATGCGAAGACTTCCACAGCTATTTTAGCGCGCCAACTCGCAATCGTCAAAACGTGATTCTTAAAAAGAATGTTAACATGAATGTTGACATGGTAATGCGTTAGCTGAGACTGTCCAAGTCCTCGTCACTGGATGTCTTTACTCGGCCCAAACAGCATATCTTAAAACAACACGATGGCATGACTCGTTGGTTCTATTCTTTTGCAATGCCTGTGGCTTTGGTCCCTAGATCCACCGATGGTACGACCCTAAATATGTCCAGGGCGTCATGGAAAATGCTGCTTTTAGACGTCTTTGGAATATGCCTATATAGTTTAAGAACCCATGCAGAAGGCTGTGATGTTGGGGAGACTCGTTATTCCCCGGATAGTTCATGATGGGTTCCACTAGGCAGCGCTTCCTGGGAAGTCCCATCGCTGTTTAGGGACTGTGCAAGGACCATCCACCCTCTCCCTGATGTATTGTATGTAATTATAATCCGCGGCATCGTCATTATTAATTGATCGATATGGAGCTGCGTGTACCTGTTTTATCCATGGTTTTACTGACATAGATAGTCGCATGCTGCGGGACTCCGTTTCATTAATTCCCAACATGTTGCCAATCTGTTTGTCCGAAAACCCCGTCTGTTTTAAACATAACATGAGCTCTGCATTCACATCTGCCCTGAAACGAGAACACAGGTCGGTTGTCGTGTATCTTATCATTGGCACAGATCGAGTTCAAAACCTGTCCCAGAATGACATCAAACATTTCACTGAAGAGTTCAATATATATTCATATTATACAGCACGTTTATTTTAGACATGTTATAATAGACAACTTGGAGCTCATCATGTCAACCTTTCAGACTTCAGTTCCAAATACCCCATGTTTCCAGCTACCTCATGATACGTGAGAAACGTTAAGGTGCAACAGTCTCACAATGTTGTATACAGTTCTCAGACTTTATACTCCTAGATATATATCCGGGAATTGCAATTCTAATCTTGAAACATGATTTCTTACTTTCAATGAATGCATGTGTCTTGCCCTGAGAGGTTCACATGTATGTGTATGTTCCGGGTATATTTTGCCCTGAGAGATTTCACATGTGTCTGTATGTTCCGGATAAATCATGCCCTAAGAGGTTTGACGTGTGTCTGTATGTTCAGGATATATCTTGCCCTGAGAGGTTTCACATGTGTCTCTATGTTCAATGTATATCTTGCACAGAGAGGCTGGACATGTGTTTGTATGTTCGGGGTATATCTTGCCCTGAGAGGTTTTACATGTGTCTGTATGTTCAGGGTATATCTTGCCCTGAGAGGTTTCACATGTGTATCTAAGTTCAAGGTATATCTTGCACAGAGAGGTTTTACACGTGTCTGTATGTTCAGGGTATATCAGGGTATATCTTGCTCTGAGAGGCTTTGCATGCATATGTATGTTCAGGGTATATCTTGCCCTGAGAGGTTTTACGTGTGTCTGCATGTTCAATGTATACCTTGCCCTGAGAGGTTTCACGTGTGTCTGGATGTTCAATGTATATCTTGCCCTGAGAGGTTTATATGTGTCTGTATGTTCAGGATATATCTTGCCCTGAGAGGTTTTACATGTGTCTGTATGTTCAGGGTATATCTTGCCCTGAGAGGTTTCACGTGTGTCTGCATATTCAATGTATACCTTGCCCTGAGAGGCTTTGCATGCATATGTATGTTCAGGATATATCTTGCCCTGAGAGGTTTTGCATGCATATGTATGTTCAGGATATATCTTGCCCTGAGAGGTTTCATGTGTGTCTGTATGTTCAGCGTATATGTTGCACAGAGAGGTTTTACACGTGTCTGTATGTTCAGGGTATATCTTGCTCTGAGAGGCTTTGCATGCATATGCATGTTCAGGGTATATTCTTCCCCTGAGAGGCTTTGCATGCATATGTATGTTCAGGATATATCTTGCCCTGAGAGGTTTCACGTGTGTCTGTATGTTCAGGGTATATGTTGCACAGAGAGGTTTTACACGTGTCTATATGTTCAGGGTATATCTTGCCCTGAGAGGTTTCACATGTGTCTCTATGTTCAAGGTATATCTTGCACAGAGAGGTTTTACACGTGTCTGTATGTTCAGGGTATATCTTGCTCTGAGAGGCTTTGCATGCATATGTATGTTCAGGGTATATCTTGCCCTGAGAGGTTTCACGTGTGTCTGCATGTTCAATGTGTACCTTGCCCTGAGAGGTTTTACATGTGTCTGTATGTTCAATTTATACCTCACCCTGAGAGGTTTTACATGTGTCTCTATGTTCAATGTAGATTTTGCCCTGAGAGGTTTCACATGTGTCTGTATGTTCAGGATATATCTTGCCCTGAGAGGTTTTACATGTGTCTGTATGTTCAGGATATATCTTGCCCTGAGAGATTTCACGTGTGTCTGTATGTTCAGGATATATCTTGCCCTGAGAGGTTTCACGTGTGTCTGTATGTTCAGGATATATCTTGCCCTGAGAGGTTTCACGTGTGTCTGTATGTTCAGGGTAAATCTTGCACAGAGAACCTGGACATGTGTCTGTATGTTCAGGGTATATCTTGCCCTGTGAGGTTTCACGTGTGTCTCTATGTTCAATGTATATCTTGCCCTGAGTGGTTGGACATGTGTCTGTATGTTCAGGGTATATCTTGCTCTGAGAGGCTTTGCATGCATATGTATGTTCAGGGTATATCTTGCCCTGAGAGGTTTCACGTGTGTCTCTATGTTCAGGGTATATGTTGCACAGAGAGGTTTTACACGTGTCTGTATGTTCAGGGTATATCTTGCTCTGAGAGGCTTTGCATGCATATATATGTTCAGGGTATATCTTGCCCTGAGAGGTTTTACGTGTGTCTGCATGTTCTGGGGATATCTTGCCCTGAGAGGTTTTATATGTGTCTATATGTTCAATGTATATCTTGCACAGAGAGGTTGGACATGTGTCTGTATGTTCAGGGTATATCTTGCCCTGAGAGGTTTTACATGTGTCTATGTTCAATGTATATCTTGCACAGAGATGTTGGACATGTGTCTGTATGTTCAGGATATATCTTGCCCTGAGAGGTTTTACATGTGTCTGTATGTTCAATGCATATCTTACACAGAGAGGCTGGACATGTGTCTGAATGTGCCAGGGTATGTCTTGCACAGAAAGGCAAGGTGCATGTCTAAATGTTAAATGTCTGAAGCAGAGAAGTTTGGCAAATGCCTGTATGTTCAGCGTCTGATACAGTTGGTTGGTTGATTGTTGTTTAACTCCGCACCCAGCGATATTCCACCTATATGGTGGAGGTCTGTAAATAATTGAGTCTGGACCAGACAATCCAGTCATCAACAGCATGAACATCGATCTACTCAATTTGGACACAACGTGTCAATAAAATCAGCGAGCTTGACTACGCGACCCCATTAGTCGTCTCTTACGACAAGCATGGGTTAGTGAAGACCAATCTAATCCAGATCTTCACGGGTCCAGTATCTGATACACAGACTGGGCGTATGCCTGTATGATAGTATGTCTTGCCCAAACAAGATGGACCTGGTGTGTACGTTCAATTTCTGATACACAGAGACCGGGCATGTTGAATGTTGTATGTCAGACACATATGATGTCAACTTCACCACGTTCTGTACACACACACATTCTGCGAAGAAAACCCCAAATACTGTGATGTATTTTCTCAAACTTACTTGTTAACATTCTTCAGTCGCCTCTCCACGTCATAAATCTTACGGAGTTTGTTGAGGAACCATCTGTCTATGTTGGTGAGGGAGTGTATTCTGTCCACCGTGTAGCCGGCTTGAAAGGCCTAGATCATACATAGTGTGTTTGGGCCTTAAAATTACGTCTGTTTTCATATGCCAGCATATAATACATACGGGTATATTTCATTTGAACCACGCGGCATATAATGTCTCTTAATTGACAGATAACATGTGACAAAGTTCAGCGAGTAAGTTAAATGGCTGACCATTTACCATGATGGTTTGTCTGACCAGAAGTATAGGGCACTTTCAATTCAGTATTTTGATTCTAAGATAGTAATCGAAAACTGTCAGTTTCAGAAAAGCTTCAAAGCATATTTTTTATCAAAATATATACACTTAAAATCAAAACGTAACAGTGTCACGGCATCTTACAGTGGGAATGAAGCAAGCACAAACAGATGGTCATTTCTTTTCTTAGAATTTTCACTCTACTATGCGCTGACTTCGTGAGAAAATTGTCAATAAATGTTTTCGAAATTTAAAGTTGTATTTCTACGATGATTTTGGTTAAAATTCTTCTAATTTTAGTGGTATGCTATGCAGAATGTTCCTCACGGGATTTGTCTCCATCCAGTGATTCCTGCTTTCTAACAAATACTTAAATGTCACAACAAAGCATAGAGTATAGAATCAACCTGAATATGATTTACCTTGGCTAATGTGTGAATCCTTGTGTTGTTAGGTTCTTGTAAGTTTGTGTCAATATCAAAGTGTGCCGGGTATTGTTTGCCGCCAGGCAGCTGCTCTGTAAACCCTACACAAGATGGGTGTGTCATTCGCAGCGCCTTCTGCAAACTTTCCTCGAATGTCCTTCCTATTGCCATGACCTGAAAGTATCAACGTGTTGTAATGTTAACTTTAAAAGGTTATATGTGTAGTTCAGTAGTTAATGTTTAGTGCAGTGCTTGAGGAAGAGGAAAACCTATGTTCACTGAAACGCGTAATGTCACACCAAACTTTTTTAGTAACTGTTTAATAGGAACAACATCTGTTGCAATACCTAGGTTACGTGGAGTCCGTCCGTAATGAGTTGTCTAGTGTGTACAGAACAAGCGTGGGGCGTTAACGTTTATTACAGTAATGTATCAATAGAAACACATCGGGACTGAATACAGCATGGCTTCAATAAGACTTTGATTACTTCTCCAACACTTTTCATAGCACTTCCAATCTCCTTTGACATATGCTGGAACCTTTCCATCTCCCAGCGAGGTATCTTCGTGACGATGTAATCAAGGCTTGGCTCAAAGCAGGCAGTGGTCATTTGGGTCGTAGTGTTTTGGAGGCTTGGGAGGTCAATGCCAAGAGCAAGTTTCGTTGCTATAAACGCCAGAGGATACCTGCAATACGCCACATACAGCAACAACACAGCAGGGTACAAAGAAGGGGTATAATGTCTCGACACTGTAGCACAACTCAATATGTAGTCAGTAGTCACATATAAAAACAGTTTCTTGTGTCAGCATATTTATTCAAATATTTTCTGCCTCAATACTTTAATACTATGTTATATAAAGTTGAATATATTCCGCTATTATTCTTTTGACAACTGAAGTCGATGTTATGACAAGTTTACCATATGGAAACCGCTGAGATATCAAGATATCATCATTTACTGACTTGGAAGCTAAATCCACGTTCGATCTTGACTGTTTCGACAGTTTTTGTTTATGCAATTCAAGAACGTACCTACATTGCATAATTACATAACATTGCTAGTGCGCTGATATCACATTATTACAAGTAATTAGGTTCCGAATAGCAGAGACATAAGACGGTGGTTTCGTTTCAGATTGTCCAGATGATCTGCAGGTATCTTCCCATCTGGCATACATCCCAGTTGGACTACACCTTATATAAACACTGGTTGCTGTTGAGTGATTTACTAATCCCACACTGTCTCACCATGGATGTACATAATGGACTGATCCAAGAAATACTGACAGTAACGATGGTTACATGAGTCAGCTTTTATTTTCATACATGACTTCACATATAAAGCATTAACTTGTATATACACTGAAGCATGTCATGGTCAAATTCAATTAACAAATCGATGTGGTTCACTTGATCTTCAGAATAAAACATCAGCTTGTATACACAAAGGTTATCCATGGTCAAATTTGAATTACAAATATGGTTCACAAGATCACTTGAGTTTAAGAAACTGCACATGCTGCTGAAGGCTGGGAGTGGCTCGGGGTGGTCTTCGCCACTGGACTCAGTGAGTGGACTGTACCACTACATCTGTAGGGGTGTACCTAATTTCCCCTATCCACCAACTCTAGTACGTCTGGGGAAAATACAGTGTAGTACAAATGGGACGTATGACAGATGGGAGTAAACGGAACTGTATATTCTTACCCTGTTGCTTTAGACGCGAGAGCCGAACTTCTTGACAATCTTGCATTGATCTCGATGATGCAGTATTCCATAGACTGTGGATGGAGGGCATACTGGATGTTGCACTCTCCAACAATGCCAAAGTGACGAACAACCTGTGGAATAAAGAATGCTAAAACAATATTGAACATTGAAACCCTTGCAGATAAAATACCGACATGTGGCACGTGCACAAACTGCACTTGTGAAAATTCGTAGGTTTGCTTCTGAACATACTGCACAGCATTTCCACCAAGTACACTTGCACTAACATCTTAAATGAACTCTATTATAGTATCGACCGCCTCTGTGGTGTAGTGGTTAGAGCGTCTGCCCGGAGAGCGGAAGGTCGCGGGTTCGATCCCCGACCGCGTCATACCAAAAGACGTTAAAATATGGTACTTGTTGGTCCCGGCCTGTCGCTCGGCATTAATGGGTACAACAAGGACTGGTCGGCTCGGAGTCAGTATAATGTGTCTGAGTGGGGTAATCATGCTTCACTGCGGCATGGTATCTCAGTGGGCTAGCACTATAAAACCAGCTTCAGTCTGGGCTAGTACACGCAGCCGCACATACACATACACACGCATGCACGTCGTCATATGCGCGAAATATTCTCAAGCACCACGTAAAACCCAATTTCACCTCACCTCACCTATTATAGTATCAACATACACTAGCTGTTGGCGGTCAACATGTTCAGGGGTGCCTAACTTTTTTCAGGTGTATATTTTGTTGGAATGCGTTTTGCTAAACTGTTTCACAAGATCCAAACATAGATGATACTACCTTGATTGCTGTCTCGCGCAGCATATGATATTCTTCATTTGACAAAGTCTGACTTGGGGCAACAACAATGGAATCACCTGTAAAGAAACCTAGAAAGTTACTGTGCATAGACTACAAAATGACCCAAAACATCGTAAAGAATAACCCACCGTGTTTTATGTAGACAGCAAGACAAAACTGAATAACTTTCCGAGATGAACCTGTTCTTAGGTTGAATACTGACTATAAAAAGAGGATATAATGTTTAAGCGACTAAGTGTAGTTTAAGTCAATCTGATTGACATCACGAAGGGTGACATCACGCTGATCTAACAAAATGGGGCGTTTTGCCTCGATCTTATTCGCAGGGCTGAAAAGTGAGGATCTTTTTTCAGTGGCTGTTTATATATTTTTGGTTTTTCTTTCCTTTCCTACTTTCCAGAAGTGACATCAGCACATTTGTCGTTTCCTCATCAATGTGATGATCATCAGTCAATTTATAATAAGATATGGTTTGAACCACATGACCTTGTTGATGTATGGCATACTGGGAACATGAGTAAAACGCACCTACCTGTGTGTATGCCTAGTGGGTCAAGGTTTTCCATGTTGCAGACGGTGACACAGTTGTCGAAGGCGTCCCTCACAACCTCGTACTCAACTTCCTTCCATCCAACTAGTGACTTTTCTATCAAGACTTGGTTGGTGACAGCAAGTGCCTAGCACAAATCCATACGATAGGTACATTCACGGCTCGTTTCACAGCTTCATTAGAAGCATTATTTAAAAATATCACGTCAACCTTACATTTGGACTAATCAAACGAAAAACGCCCAAGGAAACTACGCTGTACATTCACATATTATACAGGGCACATATTGTTGGAGAAATAACAATTTTTACTCATTTTGCACAAAATCTGACCTAGCTACAAGTGCCCATGTCACACAGACATGTCGGTAAACTGTTTGAGAGAGCTGTATTCAAGCATATATCTAACTATTTCAACGAGAACAAGTTATTGTACAAATACCAAGCTGGTTTTCAAGCTGGGAGTTCACCTGTCCATCAATTAATTGAAATATATCATCAAATATGCCAAGCTCTAGATGATAAGGACCAATATTGTATGGTCTTTTGTGATGTTTCGAAGGCTTTTGATCGTGTTTGGCACGGAGGCTTATACATAAATTGGAAATGTATGGTATTAAAGGTAGATTATTACAGTGGTTATGTAATTACATATGTAATCGCTATCAAAAGGTCTTTGTTAATGGAGCCCTGTCTAAACCAAGGTTATTCCAAGCTGGCGTCCCACAAGGATCAGTGTTGGGTCCGTATTTATTCATTGTTTATGTAAATGATATTGCTGATGACTTAGATTGCATAACGCGACCATTTGCAGATGACACATCATTAGGCAAGGCTTCTGGAAATCTTAACAGATTAGAAACCTCATTAAACATAAATCTCAGAAGGTTAAACGACTGGGCAAACAAGTGGTTGATATCATACAACCGAGATAAGACAGAATCAGTACTTTTCTCACTTAAAGATATTTGCTCGATTAACTTACTATTTGACGATAAGATTGTTAAAACGGTAGAAGATCATAAACATTTGGGGATAATACTTTCATCGAACGGCAAATGGTCCTCCCATGTATCTAATGTTGTTTCCAAAACCTCTAAAATGATTTACTCAATGAGAAAACTTAAATATATTCTTAACAGAAATACACTTGTAAAGATTTACACAGTTTTTATAAGACCACACTTTGAGTACGCATGCGAAGTCTGGGATGGCTGCGGAAAAGAACTAAGTTTAAAATTGGAAAGGCTCCAGATGGAAGCTGCAAGAATTATTACAGGACTTCCCAAATATTCCTCTTTTAATTCACTATATTATGAAACAGGCATGGAAGCACTATCAGAGCGTAGAAGAATAAGAAAATTGTCTTTGTTCTACAATATTCAAAACAACAAAAGTCCAATCTACCTAAAAGAAATAATTCCTCAGAACGTGGGCTCCAGGAGTCAATATAATCTAAGAAATTCAGGCAATATCAGCTTGCCAAGAACAAGAATAAAACATTCTCATGAGTCGTTCTTCCCATCAACTATAAGATTGTGGAACAATCTACCTACAGATGTAAGAAATTGTACTTCACTATCAAAGTTTAAATCGAGCATAATAACATCATATAACTCAGCTCCACTGTAATTTTCTGACGGTATTAGAAAATTTAACATTTTACATACTCAACTACGTCATGAAGCTAGTAGATTAAGTTACGATCTATACAGAGTAGGGCTAATCACTGATCCATCCTGCGCATGTGGAAACCCATGCGAAAATGCTCATCACTATTTCTTAGAATGTTCTTTACACAATCAACATAGAAAGACCATGCTTAAAGCTATTCAAGATGTATGTGGTAGTAATTCTGTGATTACATTATCTGTTATTTTAAACGGCATTGCAGATCTAACAAATCATCAAAATGAAAATATATTCAAAAACGTACATCAATATACATTGTATATGCAAATCTAAACGATTCCAGTAGTCTTTTCTCTATACACCTTTTGTATTATGACATTTCCCCCTGTTATCTTCCAGTCTTTCTCTGTCTCTGTTTCTAATAATTGCTTGTGATGTAATAAGTTATTGTAAATATCTTCGGAGAGGGGTTTAATAAGTTGAAAGAACTTGTCCCCGATCCTTTTCACACTATGAATAAAATATGTTTAAACTAAACAGAGGAACATGAGCAATCTTGAATGTTTGAAGATACTGGCAGGATATATGAAAACATCTTTCTATACAACAGTTTGTGACAGTTTGTGACATGAAATCTGTCATTGGTAATCTTGTGAATGTTTAATTGAACCAGAGGAAGAGAGAAAAACAAATTGCACCAAATTTGCAAGGATGATTATATGTACAATAAAAATGGCCAGCAATATTCTGTTTACTTTAAAAGGACAGATAACCAGAGGCATATCATTTCTACTCAATGCAGTCTTAAGACGTGCAGAAGGAAAAACAACACCTTTATCCATCGTTCTGGAACAAGTTCGACATGTCACGCCTCGGAAAGTGAGAGATGGAGAGCTATAGGGTATGCTTCGGTCTGGTTATTAGCGGCATGGCGTTTCTCATCGATTCAGCATCAACAGATATACGATTTGGCACTCATGGCGACATTTTCAACAAAACAAGTTATTGACCATCCCCTGTAGTGAGCGCCCACCAGTGACCACACGTCAAGACCGACGGATTTGAACCATACATCTACGAACACATCTACGAACCTCGCTGCAGTTCTCAATCACATCGCTGTGATTTCATCTCATTCATCAGCTTAGTCTCACACCAGATTTTGTGACCCAAGTCGTTTTTGTTCTTGTTTTCTGAATTTGGTTCTCCTCAAGTTTACGAGGTCATCCGAATCCTCAAACAACGCTGCAGAAACTCTGCTAAATCCTTCTTCGGATATTGAATGATCTTCCCCAGTAGTATATACACTGGGGGTACGAGATCAAGTCCAACAAAAGCCTCTGTAAAGCTTCATTTATGAAATAAAGCTTTTGTCAGGCCCTTATCTCTCTCCGCAATTGTATATACCAGCTTTGAACCCCCAGTTAACTTCCTGGTCACTATGACCGCGAACCAACACTTTCCTGATCACGTGACACTATGTCGTGTTGACAGGAAACAGTTGGTTACAGGATACTATTGGGATCACTCGACATGTTAAATATTTTGCTGGGGGGGTAACATTGTGTCGTATGGTATGATCAATAATTCCTCTCTGACGAAACCTCTCTCTGGCCCATCTTTCAAGTAGTACAAGTTCGGCTCGTCGGCTTTGATGTCCACTTTATCTATGTTGTGAGTTTTGACTGACCATGTCGGATCGGTGGCTCGTTTCCGAGTGTCCCCTTCGTGTTCCCCCGGCTGGTAGAAGTACCTCACGAGGGCCCTATCGGGTATCTGTTTCTCCTTCCCACGCAATGGTGCAGCTGGTTCGGCTATCACTGATTTCAGTTTGATAGCGTCGGCTGGTTTCTTGCCGGTGAGACGGGTGATTTCGTGGTTGATAGCCGACACCACTGAGGTAGCCGCGCTACCCATTCCATCGATCGTTTTTCTGGGTTGACCATCTCCCTCGCATACTGGTGTCTGAATAAGCACTCGGCCAAAGTCCGATTGAATCTCTCGACTATGGCTTGGCTGCGATGAGCCATAGCCGCGCCACGCCTGACGCGTGGTGCCAGTAGGTAGATCTGCCACAGGGCTTGTTTTTCCAGCCACGCTTTGGTCTCGTCCGGGGATACTCTCGCCATTTTAGCAAGCTTATGTACAGCGCTAGCTCCTTTCCAGTACCCACGCGGGCTGTGGTAAATAGCCTCAAACTTTCTCTGGTTCCGTGACATCGTATACATACGGCCATGTCTTTGGTTCAATTTTCTCATGCCCGTACGCGTACGTGTTGATTCCATCGGCGGCTATCCAACGCTTCATGCGTATCGGTGACAGGGACGTCTTGTTTATCGTCAGTCCGTATATCTTGTGCCCTTCGCTTCTCAGCGTGTTCATCTGATGCTTGAAGGTGTGGGTCTTGAACAGGGCCTCCTTGAACCTGGCGTGTTTGATGTGTTGTTTCACCACGTACTTCTTGACACCCTTCGCTTTCCGGATCTCACTATTGTCGGCTTTCAGAATGGAGTACACCTTGGGCCTCAAGCCTATGTACTCCGCTATGGGTGTGCCAGCACACTCGTCCTTCATCTTACCGAGGACCTTTTTGTTAACCGTGCTGTGCATGGTATGGTCCTTGGGGTAGTCACTGGTGTCGTACCTGTGCATGTGCTTCTTCATGTCTTCGTACACGTCTTCAGTTCGAATCTCCATCAGCAGGGAGTCCGTGTCCGTGTACAGCACTTCGCATCTGTCGCCGTACTGCTTCTTGAGCTCGTTGTAGTAGAAGTCGTACATCAGGTGCTTGGAGAGGTCGAGGATGCTCATCCCAACGTAGACGGGTCGGTTGAACTTGATGTGGCTCTTCCTCTTGTGTAGGGCCACCAGATCGTTGGTGAATATCTTGCTCCGGTTGAATGCCGGTCTGGCTATCAGTCTCCTGAGCTTGTCTTCCTCTTTAGACCTGACCAGCTTCACGGTCAGGCGTTTTCGCAAATTCTCCATCGTCTTACCGATCACCGAGTTGTTCATGAGCTTGTAGAGGTTCTTCTCAAAGTCACTGGTGGCCAGCTTTCGCAGGTCTGTGTTCATTCTGATGTATGGCTCCATCCACGGGCTCTGGTCGAACTTGAGCACCCTATGGGTTTTAGTCAGCCTCATACCCAGCGACAGGTACAGCTGTAGGTTACGATAGTGAACGATGTACTTGGTCTTGTTCATCAAGTTGGGTACGAGTTTTTCGACGTTGGTTAGCTTATTACCCCCCACCCTCCGTTGGTAGTCGGACATCCAGTCTGGGTTCACCATCAAACGTTCTGGGGCCAGGGGGTAGCTGTTGTGTGACTTATGTAATGCTGTTGGGTACTCCAAGTCAACTTCGAGTATGTAACCCTTCTCCGAATCCGGCGGTATGATCATGACGTCTATCTCAGGCACCCACTCGAACCCCCCGATGGGTAGATACTGGCTCAAGGCCCAACCGTACAGGTTGTTGGCGTCGAGATAGAGGAGA